CCGTTTTCTTTTGCTTTTTCTTTGCCATATGTTGGCTTTCCTTATTTCTTTTCCTTTTTATTCAGAGCATGCGTTTCTACTGCTAGTAATACTGTTCCTGCGTTCTGTTCTTTTACTTCACTACCTTGTTCTTTGTTGTCTTCTCTTCCTGTTCGTGCGGCTTGCTCCCGTACATGGCGCGCCCCCGCCGCAGTTACCCCCCACTCTAACACTCAGAGGATGGACGAGTGAGTGTGCATTTTTACGACCACACTCTTATTCTCCACTTCACGCAACCGCCTCTACTCCGGACCGCTGGATACGCCATAAAGCTCAGTCATTTTACCGGTCAACAGCACTGCAACAAAGGTAGTACAGAAGGCGAGGGGGAAAGAGGGGCAACGAAAGCGAAGAAGTTAGGTATACAGGCGTAGTGTGAAACAAACTGTGAAAAAGAGCAACTCAATCATTGGCAGCTGATTGCTGACGCTCACGCATTCAGCGTTGCCATGCTCGTAGTAGGGCTAGGCACCTGGTGAAGTGTTGAGCAGGCTCCTCTGTCGCCTAGTCTGAAGAGATGTCCCTTCGTATTTCTGGTTAGTGGGCGTCGTTGCTCATATTCCCGTGATCCAAGATCCAGTCAAGTTAATAATGGCCAGTTGGGTTGCCAGGTTCACCTGGCTCTGGAAACCAGCTAATGAAAGCTACGTTAACAACCACGCGGAGGAGGTGCTGCACACTTTAGGAAAGTAAGCATGCACGAGTGTTGGCTAAGAGCAGGCAATGGCCGGCAGCGGACCTGGCTAACGGTGAATTTAAATACAGAGAGTTCTGTTGAGGAGTGGCTCGATGTATTTTATGCCATATCGAGAAAGGTAAGGAAATATCGTCAGCGCTGCTCGCCAGACTAGGTGCAAGCGCATAGCATATTTCATGATAAGGTTGACACATTTGGTTTGTTCACCACTCTGGGTTCGACAGGCGACAGTTTGGCCTTCTTGGCACTGGACCGGTTGCGGAGATTATGCCATACGTCAGCCTGATAACAAAAGTCTCCGTCGAAAATGTGCAATTTACGCGAATCATGCTACTGAGTAAAGCAGGAAGCAAGGAGCTCAACAGCGTCGGTAGCTTCCAACGTCTTTTTTCGTAGGGAATCAGCTATCTGCTTAGAGAGTCAACGAGAACCAAGTCTTGGTCACTGCCGGATAACATGAGAGACACACTAGCTAAAAGATCTAAAGTGACGTGATTCCAGAGGCGAAAGGAAAATAGTAGCCACTGAAAGCGTCCTGCACGCGTCTGGCTAAGCGTTTCAGAAGCAAGGCAGTGAACACACGAAGCCAAGCAGGGTGTACCATAGGCACGCAAGCCCTGCCAATAGTAGCATTTGCTGAGGGCTAGGAAAGTCTTTTTTGGTCCCGATGGCGAGCTGTCACTTGTGGTGGTTGCGGAGCACATGTCTCATAGGTCAATAAGCCTCTCGAGATACAGCAATGTAAGGCTCGGGAGAGATCATGCAGCCTTCATAGGCCGATTCCATGGGTGTAAATTGCAGGGAACCTTAGCTGCTGTAGAATGTGTTGATGTGGGCTTTGCAACAGGGTGTAGTGCTAGTTACTGGGACGTTGCGCCAGGGGAAGCCGCGTCTGGAGCAGGTGTGGAACGAAGAGTGCTGGCATACGAGGCAAAGTTCACAGGAACACCTAAAGGTGCGGAGTGGTTGCAGCCTCAGACAGGTCACTAAAAGCAGACGGGGTTGAGTACTCATTGTGTCGAGACAGCACATCCACCGTGAGTATGTGATTTTGAGGCTTTGGAAAGCCGCTGAAGACTAAAGGCAGCGAGCGATCCGCACACTTCGGGGCTTCGATTAACTCAGCTGCTGCAAATGAGGGTGAGCTCGGCGCTCCGTGTACGCCGTACTCTTAGCAAAGCGTGATAAGAGACATCAATTGTTTATGAAGGTAACAAAGGCAAGAGCCCTTGCCCAGTCATCAATCCTAGGCTGAGGAAGAGGACGACCAAGGGACGAGAAGCGGAAGCGAATAACGATAGCTGATGTAGCTATTGTGTATGAGGACTACCAGAAGAACTCGTTTGGCGCAGCTCGTCTCCACAAAGAAGAAAAGTACCAAAGCCGTAAGACATTCTACGAGAAGCGTGGGTACAAAGTGTCGGTACAAGCATTAGTATACGGGTCCCTTGGGTGTATTGCACAGGAAAACAAAAGAGTGCTTACACACGACCTCGGACTCAATGCACGCACAGCCTGGTTCGTCCAGCGCGAAATTAGCACTGACTGTATCCGCCAGAGCCATCGTATTTGGGGTTTTCACATGGCAGATAATGGCATGAGGCGAGCAAGAGGAGGAGGGCGCTCTCCTGCCGCCACATGAGTTGCATGAAACACTAATGTACTAATAGAACACCAAGACAGCACACACACACACACACTCGGTAGCAACACTATGGGCTTATTTACAGACGCGTGAAGACGGTTGGCCCGGCACTCGGGCGTGCCGTAGGGGCTGGAGCTCCCTCGCATCCCCCTTTTAAACCTTTTGGCTCGAGGTGGCAAAGCCCAACTCGGCAACCCAGCAAGCAGATTGCCGGGTATCGGATCGGATCGTCACCCCAGAAAGCAGAGTGCTTGCCGGGTGCCGTATCGTCACCCCAGCAAGCAGGGCTTGCCGGGTGTCGAAGGTGTCGAACCGACACCCCAGCAAGCAGAGTACTTGCTGGGTGTCGGAACGGCACCCCAGCAAGCAGGGTGCTTGCTGCGGGGCCGATCCGACAACCAGAGAGTGCTCGCTGGTTGTCTCAGGTGCATCCCAGCAAGCAAAAGTTCCTCAGGGACTTTTGTTTGATGGGCTTCCCAGCAAGCAAAACGTTCCTTAGGAAGATTGCTTGCTGGGCCTCGTGGCAATCCAACTCCGGAAGCCAGCTCGTAAAAAATTCTAAGTCACCTGCAAGCGGAGACGAAACTGTAATTATTCCATACTGAAAATATCATCACGTGCTCAGACTGGAAGGGGCAAAAACGGTGGTGGACAGATTTGTAAGGACGAGAAAAAGCTTTGTGCAGAGGACGCAGCGTTGCGCGACAGTGATCTTGCGTCGTGTGTCGTGTGTGTGTGTGTGTGTGTGTGTATGTGTACGTGTGTGAACACAATGGAAAAATCTTACGTAGTAAACTTTCCAGTGCACCTTTCAGCCCTTCAGAAATCGTGCTCTCTGTTGTAGACGCGAGTACGGCAGTAAACAGCGGGACGGCACTAACCATCGCAAATGAGATGCCATCTACCTCCTGGCCCTGTTGCCGGAGGCTGGTCACGGTGACGAACACTCTGGTTCGTAGGTTGTCGGCGGTTTCATGGGCAAGCGCACGCAGCATCCGTAGAAAAGAATACCTACCCCTTCATGCTGGCACATTCGAGTTCCCTAACTCTTCGCTGCGATGCGCTTTTAGTGGGTTTTCTTAAGCCTTTTGCGGAGCCAAAAAATCATTTTACCTACTGGGAGGATTGTTGCTCCCATTCTGGACTACTGCGCATCAATCTTAGCAAACTTAGTCGCTAAATTTTTTTTCGAAATGCTCCCCTATTGTTTCTGATTTCGTTTTCTCTGGGGAGCGGATGGGATGCTCTAGCGGGGGCCAGGGCACCTGAGGCGCTTCTTCACTTTGTTTTATCAAACATTCCCACCCTCTTTCTGCAAGCCGCTACTGAAAAGCCTCTCCCACTGCGTACTGTGGTAATTCTTTCAAAAAAAACCAGAAAGGGCTTTTTAAACTGTACATGTGCTCTTCAATGCACTTGATAACAACTATACAGCCATTTATAGCTTAGTAACAGACCCATATAGCAATCCATCGTGTAGAACATAGGTTTTGGTTCGGCTTGCCTACGGGGTCTCGCTTTTCCTAAACTTCGTATTAGTTTGCTTCGCCCACAGGATCTAGGTTTTCTCAAGAATCCTACTGGCGGACCGAAACAAACCCTAAACTTGACCTATGCGAAAGCCTTGAAAAATAACCTATGAGCCCTTGTTTGTATTTTGCGCTTAATGGCCGCATATACTTGCAGACGCAAGCAACTGCCGCAAGGTCATGGCACTGAGGCAAAACAATCTCTGGCGTGTCTTCTTTTCACTTTATTAGATGAAATTTTATAGTTTTTACTCTCCGCATCTATATTGTTGTCGCGTATATTTCTGAACTTAAGCAGCTAGATGCGAGCGAAGACTTGCTGGTGCCTGCTGTGCTACGCTGGACTGCAGCAACGTTTGTTCAGCTTTGTGTCCAGCACCTCCTGAGACGTTCCATGAGTCCCAGTGGTCAAACCTTGTTACTTCGCTAATTAAAATACAACTTAAAGAGCGGGTGCGTAGATTTAGTTACGTCGAGGGTTGTTGCCTGCCACGCAGACAATGGAGATAAACATGCTCGGTAGCTGTATTGTGGCGCAGCTCTTTGCGATATCCCTTCCCTCTTATGGCTCTGTCATCGAAAAATGATACGTACGCAATTGAGTATAGGGAAGATATTGCCTGGCAGGAGCCGTTCAACTAGGGCGTACGTTGCACATTGCCTGTACTATCGTGGCAAGGCCGCACAGGAAATGCTCTGAGGCGCGCCCCGAAATCTAGTTTTCCAGTGAAACTTCAGATGAACATTGAATAAGTTTTTAGGTTTCACTTTTCTGCAGTAAGTCACAAGCTTGTTGATGCTGTTCAATGAAACTCTATTCATTGTGGAGATCCTTGATGCAGCGCGGTCCCCAAGGCGGTCATTTGCTGCCCTTAACTGGGTGGTAACAGCAAAGAAGAGCGCGTTCGTTTCTATTCTAGCCATTGAATCTAAAAAATTGTTATTTCTTACACTGCCGAACTACAATGTATTGCACACGAATGGTGGGGAGCCGCTATGCAAAACTCGGTCCATCCTGAACAGGCTTAAGGAGGCCTGAACCAGTGGTGCCTGCAGTCCATGCCAACCGTTGGCTTTTTGCTGTTGTGAAATGGAAGTAGACAATCAATTGAGACCGGCCTCTCTGGGCTGCCGCAAAATTCATGCGTGCCTCAGCCTTCTAGTACTTGCCGTGAGCTTTGGCTTAGGCCAAAGCAAGTTGATGTCTGACCAGTCGATTCCCGTAATACTGGAAAGAATTGGACAACTACCAGAACACACCGAGAGGATCAAGCCAGCTGAAAATGGTCTTTCCCTTTATGAAGTTCAGTCAACTTCGCAGACCACGAGTCCCTTAACTCAAGAAGTAGGAAGAGAAGGAGAGGCCTTTCAGGCCCAGAACCCCACAGAAAGTACGAAGCGGCATGCAAAAATGGGCTAATTTGCTGCGGAGGGCACATTTCACGATGTGCTAGGCAATGACCCTGCTAGAAGTGACGTGCACATTGGGTAGGCGCACATTTCATTAGTTCAGTGTTGGATGATGTGTCCTCAGAATGTAAAAGCATACTCAAGGACTTTCAACAGGGTACGTTCCTGTGAGCTGTCTACCACGCTCGCAAAAGTAAGTACTTTCCTTCCCTTTTCTACCATAAGAAGTGTTTAAGATATCCTTGCGTCACGGATGCTCAGACTTCAGCGTCAGTAAAGCCCAGTTCACTGCCCTCCTTCATACCATCAAGCAACAGGAAAATCTTGAGGAAAAAGCCTGTTTGAAGCAAATTGTTGGATCACCAGAGGCAATTTCCCTCAACCCTCCGGAATTGTCAATCGTAAAATCTTCGGTGGATCTGCACTTCGGAGCATTTTGGATGTGGGATAAAGTTGCACGTATTCTTCTCCAGAATCGTAAGCTCTTGCCAAATTGCATGCATTTCCACTATTTTTAAAAGCGGAAGAATAAACACTGGTTGTAGAAGGGCTTTTTGCGTGAGTTTGTTTGTGCCTGCAGCTTCGGCTCCCAGCATCTCGAAGCGGTTTTGGTCAGGTACATAACAACGCTTGCCCTTACGATCTTTCTTACAGCCATTATGTTTTACGGGGCTTGAGACATGAATCACAAACGTTTTGGTTTCTGTGATGATGCTAATTTAGGGGTGCCCCCGCCACTAGACGTTGGTGATGTCGTGAAAGTGCTTGGAGTTGGCTCTACTGTCCTTCAACAAGAAGAATATACTGTTGCCGCTGTTCATGGAACGGCGATCGCAGTAGAGAAAGATGGAGTGTATTTAGACTTTCCACGTGACCGTCTAATTCTCACGATAGGATCAAGTGAGGGCCCTTTCAATTCGGTGCAATTATATCTTTAGGAGGAATCTTGCAGCTTCTGGGTTTTGAAATCATATTCGTGTGATGCGTATCCTTCAGAGTATATTTCAATAGCTGACTCGGTACTGCGGAATGAGATCAAGGACTTGAATGAAGATGATCCTAGCATATTACAGGACATGGAGGAGATCTTCAAGATTGCAGCAGTTAGAGAGGCATTTCAAAAAACGCAGCAGACAGGAGACCCTCGACACCTGCAGAATGCAATGAAAGCCTCTGAAACTTTTCACTGTATGTCTGTTCCCTGAAAAGCAATGAAACGTTTCGTTTTTTTCTTCTCCCTAAAATGAGACCGGTCAGTTCTGTTGATGCTGCAGTCTTGTCTTTTGTGGACGCAATGAGAGAGCTGCCTAGCATTGAAGCCACTCCCCTTCAGAAACCAGGCAAAGGAAAATATAAGCCCGATCCGGCAGAGACAGGCAGCATTTACACTTCAGAGGCTGCTGTGCGCGGTGAGCTATCCTTGCCGTACGGCTTTGTACCAGAAGCCCTACAGAAGCATATTTTGCCAATCTTATGGGTATATGCGTGTATTTTCCCTGCAGCATTTGAAGTACTACAGCTCATTAGAGGGCACACAGTTCTGGAGGGGTGCAGGCCTCTGACTCACAGAAACTTATATGGGACTGGCAGCGAACTTGTCTGGCGAGTAATTGAAAATGCGAAATTCGAAGCAGTAAATATGCAGGGCCAAGACGTATTGTATGCAGCGCTTGAGAATCAATGCAGATCTACTGCAGCGTTCGTTTTTCCAGCAATGTTCGATTCGTCTTCCGTCATAATTCCCCAGTGCGTGAATATCTGGAAGAGGATGAGGAACGACTGGTCGCAGATGAGTGAGCGCCGTTCGTGCAAAGCCCGGAACATTCCTCCCAGTTGATTCTTCGACAATGCTTGCATTTTTGTATACTTTGGCACTCTGCAGGTAACAACTTTGTCATTTGGCATACTACGTGCGTCTGCTGTGCTATCTTCGATGTTCCTGACCCTCAGCTTTTTCTGCGGATATTACGAAGGACCGCGAAGCGCTTACGAATGACTGCAGTGTTGAAGAAGGCATGCTTCTCAGCGGTTCATGGGCGTTGCAACTACGCAGCTTCACTTGCTCTTATGCTGCAACCTTGACAGCTTGCTTATTATTTTGATATATGAGTTGCTGTTTGCATCATGCATACTTCAGGGCAGCTGGCGCCTGGATATTTGAGTGAATGTGACTCGCGATGTATGGAAGGCGTTCTAAAAAGAGATTACCCGTCTGGCGGGAGGCATGCAAAAAGAAAATCTATAGGAAGGGATAGCATCATTGCTGGCGACGGTAAGAATACAAAAAAGAAGACACTTTACTAGAAGACACTTTACCCTTGGATGGAGGAGCCCTCTAGTGTTGTTGCTGCTCACTATTACAAAAGACGCCAGTTTTTGGTTTGGTATGTGATTGGCATCGCTTTGGTCATGTATATTTTTCGCGCAGTTGCCCGTATTACAATGTTTTCTGCCTTCGACATACTTCCATATCTTGACCTGGTGGGTGGCCAGATTTGGCGGCTCGCCCACCTCTTCAACGCGAAAGCTACGATCGCAAGTATAGAAGAGGAGTTTGAAGTGCTTTCTTGTGTAGTAGATGCCTTGACTAAGGATGTTGTGGACGGCCTGCATGTTGACACTACAATGGCCGGGTTTGGTCTACCGCATCTCCAACTGTTGGCGCTGAATGTGGCGACTGACCTGCGCCACCACGCAAGCGTCGTGGGAGCCAATCTGAAAAGCAGCAAAAAGCTGCGCACTGCGGCCAAAGGGTCAAAAGAATTTTCTGCATTTTTTAGGCTACTATCATGCCACGTCGACGGGGACACAGAAGCACTCCACGCACAGTTCGGACCGTTCGCATCATTAGCTATTCGTATAGGTGCGTTTTTGCAACTAGCTGCACGAAGTTGATTAGTTGTAATGCAGAGGAGCTGCAGGAGCCTTCTAAAGCCTGTTGCCCTAGCTCACTGCCAATCCTCTGAGTAAAGAGCTTCCAAACCACTTACTTTGTTTTCCCTTCAGCTTTATTCTTACGTGTCGAAGTTGAGGAGCATGCCAACAAGGGGTGGAAAGACGCGATATCGGTCTTTACTGGCAAAGTATTCAACAGGAAGCTGTACGAGAAGGTCGTGCGGCAAATGAGAACGAATGCAACGAAGTTTATTGAAAAGTTCATGGGAGAATTCAGCTATGTGCCTACAGGAAAGCTCCAAAATGCCAAGAAAAGAGTCAAACGCCTCTTCAAGCGGAAGCGTAAAACAAATGCAAGGGCCTTCAAGCATAAAATAGACCACAAAGTTGGCCATATCTTCGCAAAACTGATGCTAATGATGTGGACGAATGGCAGCAAACACCAAATAGATTCGGGACCTACCAAAGTCGATAGCACATTCCGGCTAGCCAGGCAATTTCAGACATACACGATTTTAAACCATGGTGAGGCTAGCATGTGAGGATCAGCCTTGCATGAAATAAAATGAGGCGCTGTTATTAGACTTCTGGACTCCTAGTGAGACAGTGAGGTGCTGTGTTCGAGCAACATTGATGCTACTGTGCTTTTTGTCCCTCACGTGGACGCTGTTGAGGCGAACTTCGGCTGCGTCTCCCCCTTATTCAAAAATGCTGGGTTATGTTTTTTTTTGCAGGCATGGACCCAATACGACCGATAACAGACCAAATCAAGAAAAGCTGCAAAGGAACCAAAGTTATCAAGCACAAGCATTGGTCCTTACTGAGCAGGGCAAAGGGTAAAATGTCGGGACTCGTCAATGAAGTTGAGACAAGCTTGGCCTATGGGCTCATCACTGGGCACACGCTCTCCGCAATATCCGAAGCTGGACGAGAGCTTGCTGCTGCTTGCCATGAAAAGGCACCTCTAGATCTGACCACTCGAGGAACTAAGTATCGTTTAATAGCCGAGCTACACCAATGCATGGAACTTCGAGGTAGGAAGTCTACGTTGCCCGGTCAGACTGAATGAAGTGACCGATTCATAGAACTTCCAAGTGAGAATATACTTTCGATTTGCAGGCCAGGCCGTAAGGTTTTTGAAGCTTGCACTAAAAAACGTGAAAAGCCCTCCAGAAGAAGTCACAGCACGGCTGTTCACATTTCTCAAACAGATTCTGGCAATCCGAGGAAAAGACGCTAAAACTCTCTACAAAGTGTTCCTCCGCTGGCAGAAAGAAGGCGAATCATCAAGGGAGGTAAATCAATGGAACGACAACATGGACATGCTGAATTGCTCATGGCACTCATCACAAGAGGAACAGAACCACATACTGTCTGAAGCTGGGAAAAGAATCGACAAGGAAGCGATTGATGAAGTTACTGCAGTATCCCAAATCCAAACTTGCCTTGGTAACTGAAAAATTCAACCCCGCCACGACCGCTAGTCTACTATGCTATGATGAATACAAGCACACGCCTCATAGCGAATGTTGCCGTAATATTGTGCCTGTGGATCTTGCAGAAAGCCATAGTGCGCGGTTAGACTTGCAGCAGGCTCAGGTGAACATCTTTTCCGAGGAAGTTGTCCAAGCTACTTCTCTGTAGGCCCCCTTTGCTGAAGAGCACATTCGCCCTGACACTAGTACGGCACACTGCGCGGCAACAACAGCAAATTTGTATCACGTAATTTGCGCCCTGAGCAATTGAAATGTTGGATTATGTACACATTACTGCTGTTGAGTTGCCGTACATTGCGACAATGTCGCACTAGTTGCATGCAGAAGAGCCCGCACCTAATCGCACCGTGCTCACAAGCCAGGTCCAGGGACTTAATTTTTTTTAACTCTACCTTTGTAAACTGCAAGTGTATTATTATCTACGACGCACGATGAGATGGCGACTGAAGGCTCTTCCTTGCATTCCCTGACTGGCGCTCCGTAAAGGTGTACAAGGTTCTGCAAGCACGTCCCAGTTATGTCCGAGCGGGGTAGCACTCTATGCATGTTGGTGTCACTGTAGCGTCTCTACAGACTACCGCAGGTCGAGTAGTGCCCAAACGGGAAATTGCTCACAACGTAACACTTAGACTGCAGCTGAAGCATTTGTAGCGCTACGAATGCTTTTAAATAAGTCTGAATACCGGCTTCATGCTGTCTCATCACAGAGAGACTTTTGCGGTATTGTTACCACTGTGTGGTGGAAAGCATGCCCGAGGCAGCGCGTCCTGCTGTGTTACGCTGCTTATTAGCTCTTAAAGCTCCAAAACCACGACGTTATACGTGTGACAACCACAAAGACCATCTCTGGAGCAATGGCGAGATACGTGCTGCGGACAAAAAAATCTTTTAAACCTTCCTCCATACTATCCTGCCGATGTCCCACTTCTTGGCTTCTTATCCCTCTGCAAGTGTATGTACTTGCCAATCCACACTGTTCTCCTTCTCCTTAACAGAACCTGCTGCACTGTCCGGCGACTCTGAACAAGCTGCCACCCACATCGGAGCTTCTGCAGCATAATTAGTCCCCTTAACAACATCGCATGCATCCCATTCGTCATCAGCGATGTCATCACCGAAAGTCGTGGGGCATTCGGCATCTAAGCTAACCTTGCTGCCTGCCTCTTGATGTCGATCACGGGTCTCTAATGACGACTCGGCAAAGCGCAGCAAGTCCCTTGCTCCTCGGGAGCCAATAGTTTGCATCTTGAGAGCACTCTGGAGTTGTGAAATGACGGAATCAGCTGCCGCAGCTTCTGGAGGAAGTGGAACGCTTTCATGTTTTTTCCCGCGACATCTATGCATTAGGTGTTCATCATCCAGCCAGCTCACGTTCCGGAAAAAGCCATGCTCCTTTGACTGGCTAAAAGTCTTCGGAACGGCGCTGTTTGCACGCATTGATACGCTCCCTACTTCCTGTTTGACCGCACTCAGCCTCGTACCGTCCTCAGCACTTGATACCTTCTTCTCCTTGTCACGCGCATCATCTCCTTGTGAAATGCCCTTTGGGCATTCCGTGAGGGGCTGTTCCAGAGATGTGTCGCCTCCTTCCGTGCTGTACTGTTTCACAATGCGCTTGATTTTCCTCTCTTCGTTATTTTCGCAGTTGTGGTCGCCTGCGTTATCAACATCAATAAGTGAAAGTTCCTTCAACACTTGTGGTGCGCCTCCGCGTTCCTTCTTTCTGTGTTTTAGCTTTGTCTCGAGCTCCTCCAAAGTTATTCGACTGCGCTCACGCACGGCGGGATCGTCTTCTGCAAAAGCTGCCAGTAGAATATCTTCCTCTTCAAACTTGCGCTGATTGTTCGTAGAATCCTGTCCCACAGCTGTGAACACTTCAAGGCACTGCGCAGGCGCAGGATCTTTTGGCCTTGGCGCTGTACTTATCTCCTCATGTGTCTTGTCAGCTACTGGTGATGTGGTACGAGCATTACTTGGGACGAATGCGGGGCCGCCGGTTTTCACTACCTCAGAGTTTCCCCTTTTTCGCCGCATCGATTGCTCCAGCTTCTTCCCCTCTTCAAAAGCGACGCGGAGATGTCGAAGAGTCAGGTGCACAACTGCAGACAAGTTGGCGCTTACTTCCTCCCTTCCCTCTTCAGTCATTGTCGATGTGCACTTCTCGTCTTCGCTCTTATGCTCTGTCTTTGCATGCGACCTGAAGCCCAAGTGGTTGCAGCGAACGTAGCACGCAGCTGCAGAAAGGCGAAGAATAGCGAGGCATGCGGCAATGTTACGGCTCATCGAAGCGAGTGCAGATCGATGCTCGTATGACGCAGCTATGCACAGAGACTTCATTGGCTGGTACGCGACAGCTGGAGGGGAAACCGACATGTGCATCAGTTTAGGAATGTTTGCGTCGGCACCAGCGCTCGTGTTTTTGTCTTGCCCAGGCATGCGCATTGCCGTGTCCCAGCGGGGATGTGGCAGTAGAATTGGACAACATGCCCAGTCTTCCTCCAAACTTGTCCTCAGCGCGTTTGCTGCCACTGAACAGACCCGTTCAGCAGCAGATAGAGCATTTCCCAGCCGATCAAGCCGTTGCAAAAGCCACCAGGACGTTCGTATTCCATTCGCCACTGTCATCACCAGGTCGCATCCACCGGCGACCCGCAGTGCTGCAACTCTGAAGAGTTCCCAACTCCAGGCTCCTTCTGACAACAGGAGCTCGCCCGTTTTTGTATCCGCAGCTGTGCATGCAGGAACTCTCTGCTCATTTATCTGCCTTTTCTCGTGAACAACAGCAATCGGTGAAGCTTCGCGGCTTTCGCGAAGCCTACCGCCGGCGCTCCCTGATGGCTGCTCCTCGGCGTCACCATCTCTCCCTAGTTTCGCATTTTCTATCTCATCAGCAAGCGACAGCGTGCAAGTTCCAGCATTACTGTGATGCTGCTGTCCCAATAATGTCTGCCGAAGGGCGCGGCTTGCATGTCGCATTCGCTTCCCACTTGATACGGCAGCAATAATGGGTTTATCAGGGCTGCGGGTTTTGCACATTGTTGCTGGGTTAGTCCGGCATAGTCGAAGTTTCAGAGAGAAAAGCAAGTGCCTCAATGCAACTTGGAGTCCAAGGCACAGTCTCGAATGTGACTGCCAGCTTTTGGCCGTCATTTCTTTTAAAGCCCTCAGGCTTCCATCAAAGCTGTGGGCATAAAAATTCGTTTCCTTCGCACACCCCCAAGGCCCCCGGGAAATGTGGTCTTGCCAAGAAGCCTGACAGCCCTGATTTGGCCTGACGATATCTTCGTACAAGTAGCAGAAAGCGCGCTGCTGCCAATCAAGCACCTGGTGAAGGCGCATCCTCAGCTGCCCAGCAGGTGCTTCTACCAAGCTCTCAGGCGCTCCACTGCACTGCAACTGCGTGCCATCATTGTGTGGAGGAGCTTTACGTATGAAAGGTAAATCTCCTCTATTTGACAGGGTAGTCATCTTTTCAGGAGGCTCTTCTGCTGAGCCTTTCCCTGTTTGATCTTGGCCACTTGTAGTCGGCGACACAGACACGGAGACGCTGGCTGCCGTCTGCTTTGGCATGGCGAGAGAACCCCTAAAAACGTTGAAGGTAACTTCAAGTTCCCGAACCCATCTGAACAGAACAACTGCAGGCATTCTGGGACTCCCTATGAAGAATGCCAACGCGTCGAGCCACATGCGATATTACAGCTCGCTGATTAGTACTATACAGTGACAAGTTGCTATGTGCCCACCAAAACATGTAAATCCGCCAAGCAGCACGATGAGCGAAATTCATACCTCGCTGTCTCTCCCGCAAGTCTGTGTTGAAGATGCATGTCATCAAGCAGCCGGTGGATTGTCTTCGAAGAGCGGTGCACTAAGAGATCGAGCTTCACCAACGCAATGAAGCAAATCGCTGTTACGCAAAACGCTAGAATCGCTAACGCAGCGAGAAGTAGAAGCGCACTGCGGCCCCCAGGAAACAGAATAGTTACCCCAACAGCGGACGCTGACGCAATGGTCGTGTAATAAGCCCCCACTATAAAGGAAGACCTAGACAGCCGCAGTCCTGTCGCAAGTAAATGCTTCGTGGAGTTCAGTATTCTGTTTGGTGGTGTTTCACTAATGATCCGAATAGGTTCTGGTGCTTCATTTGATCGCTCGATACTCGGAAGACTATTTCCCCCCCTTCTTTTCCCATCTGGCGCAGCTGCGCAATCTGGAACGATGTATCCGTACATGCACGCCGCTCCCTGTACGTCTTCACACAGCCGTCGTACGGAGTGTGCAAGAACGTTGTAGAAAGCGCTCGATACAGCGTCGCATATTCTAAGACATCTTGTTTCTAAACTTGCGGCACACATGGTACAACTGTTCGGTGCCACAACTGGCCTTGAGCTCGACTTCAGCTGAAAAGCCCCTCCCTGGAGATTCCGCAGGCCGACTATGTGGGAAATGGCAGTGTCTCCTTGCTTTGCACGCTATATTGACTTCCCTCAATGCATTGGAGATAACTAAAAGTCCAGTTTTTGCCCAAGCTAATTGTTTCATGTCCGATGAATCACATTTGACTGCTCGTATGTCACAGTGAGAGAGCACCCCTGCCAGCACACAGAAAGTGTTGCAACAATAGCACAAAAGCCGTCAAGAGGCAAAAGCGAAGGGGAATTTGCCGGAATCTTGAAGATCGAAGGCGGAAACGTGCGCGGACTGGCCATGCGAATACGGGGAAAAACTCCTTCGGCGGTTTCACGTGGACCACTGTCCGTGAAAATTTCACAACCGCGGAAACCGCAGTGTGCATGCCTTATGTAAACTCTACTTTTAACTCATTCCCTCTGCTTATCTTCGTACAGAAACTTGCTCACCATTTAAGCCATTTCCAGTCTTTCAGCCATTTCCAGTCAGCCACGCCTGCATGCGCCAGGCCCTCATACATGCCGCCGCACTGCAGTAAGAGGTGTCTTAATGGGGTCAGCATGGGTGTTATTTGTTTTTGGTTAAATGGCTGTCAATAACATTAAAATTTCAATGTTGGCGGTGCCATTTTTTCGTCCAGGGTGCTGTGCGAGACTGCTCGTTGCCACCCGGTTCACAAGCGCACGAGGATGCATGTCCCCTGCGGCATGGTGAGAAAAGCTTTGGTAAAAAATGCAAACTTGTCTTAAGGATTTTCATAGCGTTCAACACTACAGATACGTTAGCAGGATTTGTTTACTAGCAGGACATGGCAAGTTATTGATGGCCTGGAGAGCAGTCTCTCAGGTGACAAGTGCTCTGACTCTGAGACTAGTGCGCCGCACCGAGCTTGAGTGTACAAATGCTTCCCTTGACCATAATGCATATCCCTTTAAATCCTGTAGAAATCGCACAATAGGAACACCCTCTGAGGTAATTGATGACGCCAGACGTAAATCTGCAGCGGGTTGGCCTCAAGCTGACGTACTTGTGGGAACATGACGGAGAGCAAAGCCATGTGGTGTTTCACTAGTATATCCAAGTGCCAGTAGTAATACTTCTGCGCTTTGGGCAACAAAAGAAATTTCTGAGAAGAAAGCGAAGTTCCAATGCAAGTTCATAGTATGGTTGCTGCAAGATCTCGCTTCAGATATAACAACTATAAACAAGTCGCGTTCGCTTGGCGTCTGTTTCTGTTGATAACTAACGCTTTTCACGCATGATATGTATGTACAACATTCGGCTCTTCGATAACGTGACCGTTGCAGATGGGACTATGCCTCTCTTGTGACTTTCAAGGTAACAATCTGCCCAGGTAAATGGACATGTTGGCTAGATTTACTGGTTTTCTAAAAAACTCATCACAGTAAACAAAATGCCGGTTTCCGCAGTTTTAGATGGATGATTTGGTAGTACAACCATAGGCTGTTGTTTCGAAAAGAAACTGCCTATACGAGGATGCTCCAAACGCCCAAAAGTGTATGCGTATCTATGCTTGCCTTCCGCACACTGTTCGTCACGAGATTAAAATATCCCTGACTAGATTATGAAAAACCTAACTTTCAAAAGGTAGCTTCCAAGCATGCATATGTTGATTTAGTAGTAGAATTCATTTTCTACTGCCGTCAAATTCTTTACTGTAGTTATAGCTTCTCTTTGTCCAGATAGGCGATCTCATGCATGGATTTTATGACATCAGGCATGCAGTGCCAAGGAGGTGTTGTCAAAATACAATCTTTTGGGTAAGGCTTAGCGTTTGCGTTTTAAGGAAACTTTGTTTGCCCCTCACCTCCAACATTCCCCCTACATAACACTTTACTGACCATCAGAGTCTCCAGGCAAAGAATTGTCGACAATTAATATAAACAGCTAGTGGGAAGTACTGCTGCTCAGGGCCTTACCGTCGGGCCATAGGGTTCCCCATAGTCAAGGATTTTTCTATTTTAAAATGCACTGCTTTAGAGACGTTAGGAAAGTCGCTATAAGACCCGTGCAGGACGGGCTTTACCAGACAAAATCTTTTTTCCTTTGGACCGTCAGTAGACAGCCGCTACTTACCCTAGATTTTCCATCATGTTGAGTTATCTCTTTCAAGAATATCTATTTCAATTTTTTCCCCATACTAACATTTCCACGTTTTACCAATATTCGTTACAACTTTTGCAGTACCGTGCTGTCCATTACATCAGTGCTTTCGCATGGCCAGAACTTAACGTCTCTTATCATCATCTTCCGTTACTCAAGTAAGCATAGTCAATTTGAATGACTTTTATGGAAAAGAAAGCTACATTTTGTTTCTACATAGTTTAAGTGAGTTCCCAAGTTTACGAGATCCCATACTTACACAGAAAAGTGAATTACTAACCAAGCAGCTTCTACAAAATGCCAGTATGCAGTGGATCGGATAACTATGAACCAGCGCCCCCCCTTATAAAAAATTAAAATTGTTCGAATAGTTTGCATCGCGTAGTGTAGCTAAGAAGCGGAAAACGTTTGTTGAATTCAAACTTCAGACACTGTCAACTCTGATGAGCAGATATAGTTTATGACTACTGACCGGCAACCAAAACAAGAATCATTTCAGAAACTTTATCTGAGACAAGACGTATTTTTCGTTCAGTCGCTGGTTTACCACCAACTACTTTGTTTCGAAATCGCATTGGCTGCGCTTTTTCGACGCATCTTCTCTATTGAAGATTTGCCCAAATCTCGTAATGGTCTGTCACGAGAAACTTCAGGGAAACCAAATTTTTCCTTAGGAGCAGACCATTGAAATCAAAGACATTAATTTCTCATCAAAAAACAATAGCGCTTTGGTTCGATTTGTTATTTGCCTAACGAGTTGCTCAAGGAAGATTTGATCTTCGTAGAGAAGACGAACGTGAAGCTCCACGTGATGCTTCGTAGTGAAGTTCTACAACCAATTAATCTTTATAATGTAAGATATGGAACAAACTGCGTCAAAACGTTCTTAACCCAACTCGCGAATCGCACATCACGGTGGACTCTCGTTTCCTGTTGAACCTCCTTCAAGTACGAGGGTGTGATGAGCGGGCATGGAGGTGTCAGGGTGTCACTAGAATTCATGAATCAGCGCTCCTGAATTTCTACGACCTATGCATACCTTTTAGCTGATAGCCTAGCATGTTTTAAATATCTTCTGCTCTATCTTTGCATGGATTTCACAGTATAAGTAGAGAATATAAAATAAGGACAGCATTAGTTGAGCCGAAAGAACATACTGTGTTCAGATGCGTTACATAGGCAAGATAATCACTTATTCTGCATGGCATAACACAAAATTCGGATAAGTGAATATGTACGAATGTTAATAAAGTACTGAGTAAGAATACGATAGACCGTACTCTTAGGTATGGAGAATCTGATTCATTTTGACTAGAGACATTGGCTGTACAACCGAACATAAGCTCCTGGAATAGAATAATCCACAAAATATTCCAATAACCGCACCAACGGACAATTACGTAGTATGTATCATGTATAGCAACATCTGAAGGTGTAGAAATGAAACTTAAATCATACCAAACATTAAATGATACTGTCCTGAATGAGCCATAAAAGTACCTAATTACTGAAAATTTTCGGTACCTGTTGGAAATGCAGCCATCGTGGTAATTACTGAGAAGTATGCTCTGGTATATGTTTCTAGACCAAATGTCATCATATGATGCGCCCGTGCTAATGATCCTAATATATAAACAAAACCCATAGTGAGAGTCATAGAAAAGCCCTGCTAGGCCCAATTTACCTGCTGTAGTCGATAATACTCGGAAAGCAAAGCCAGAAGCAAGTAAAATAATATTGTGAACTTCGGGATGTCCGACGAACCGGAATAGTTGTTGATATAATACTAAGTCACAATTAGACACGGCATCGCAGAGTTGAGCATTTAAATGTAAGTCTAGTACCAGGATTGATAATCTGTTTGTAAGAATTCGAATTCTCCCAAGGAGAATAATAGCTGTGAATACAATAGCCAAGTAAATAGGCAGCCTGGCTTCGTACTATTAGTAAAACCTAAGATAGCAATTGCAGTGGATTAAGTAACTAAGCCAAGTACAGTTGAGTAAACTGAGGTTGGGGACAATGGCATAGCTGATGCAATTCAAGGAGGATAAAGTGTCTAACGAACGCTAACGAACTCTAACGAACACCTGAGCCAAATTTTAAAATTAGTGAAGTACTTAGAAAAACCCATAAAGTCGGAATTAATAATAATGGAGTATAATTTAGCAAAAAAAGCAACCTCAGAAGCTCGTAGATAAATTGGTAAGAAATATATACCATATCCAAACACCTGGCATCCAGGCATAACTGCAAACGAAATTGTAATAATATCATGTAGTGGAAGGTTCTGGAAATTCTGATTCTCATATGGAACGAACGTGTAAACAAGAAAAGCCTAGCTCAAGCTTAATTAAGACTGACGGTAGTGTATATACACTAGAGAAAAACAAGCCGTACATGAAAAATACCTATTTCATTATTTGCAAGGACCAAGAGACCCACCATCCGCGTATTGTCTGCCATTGTCGCTAGCTGTGCTCTTGACTTTCTCGGATAGCGTAGACCGAAGAATATGTCGGCAGCGATCTACTCTGCTTCGCCCCATGTTTTGCCAATCCAGCATAATGGCGAAATCCCGTAAAAGTCTGCACCAAATACCTTGACTAGGAAGTTGTCACCTCTAGTGGTCAAGCATATGGATCTTAGAATTGCCTAACTGTTGCTCCAAACTATTAGTGAGAAAGTGGCTTTATATGTTAGCGACGCTACCAGGCACGCCTCACTCAGGAACGTCTATTACATGATTGTCTAACAAAGTAAAAATTCATACCAGGAGAGCACTGAAAGGAGCACCAACAATTTTAGTCATATGGGAAATTTTGCCTGCCAGGGCTGTCAGCTGTGGCCCCGGCCACTTTTCTCAACTTGTTCGCGCTGCACAAGGCCGCTTTTAACTATGGAGACAAAAGTCGGGTTGAAAAGGATGCGCGTTTGAAGATGATGCACGCTTGTGGTAATGGCAGAGAGAACCAGCAAAGGCGCAAAAATGCAGAAGCCCGCAAAGCGGTGGTACATTCTGAAGATAAAAGGACAGCAGCACCTCACATAGATACATGTGTGCCCAGGAAACTCCACACGCACTCTGCTAGCTTCTGCTTTCTCAAAGAAAAATAGCACCTTTATTTGCTGTTCTAGGACTACGCACCGAATCACGTCCGAGAGCATGTCGCTGCGGACTGCCCACCGGTCCAAAAGTGCAAAGGCGATTTCAAGAGCACCGTACACGAAGAGACCGAGAGCAAAGAATGAAACAACGAGAGACCCTAGCGAGATCTTGCCCGTTATGACAAGCCACAGCACCAAAATTGATGCTCCCGCTACAAGAAGGAGAGAGAGCCACGCCTTTATAGAGGGGCTGACCGTCTGTAGCTCTCGTAGAAGTGCCTTTATGGAAGCGAACAGTCCAGACGCTGCCACCAGATAAACTGCACAGTCTACGTCAGCCGACTGTATGGATCTGAAAGCAATGCAAATGTACCACTGATTATCTACTTTTAGGCGCGTCGATTATGTGCCTAGGCCAATTGGTACTGTTGACAGTATCACCAAGCACAAAAGGGACAATTTTTACGGAAGGTGAAAGGGTTGGGTAATCCATACGTGGCGACGCAAGATATAATTCCTGCAGCAAGAAGTGGAAATCGTAGAAGTCGGAGGACAATGATGAGTTTATGGTGCCATACGATGTTACATCTCTGCTCCATCTCCTCTCGCCACCATGATACCCATGATTCTTTTGGCATGGACAGTTCCTGGAACAAAAGATAACCACTTGATTGCCACTCCATGCTTTGAAAGACAACAGGTACAATTTACTTCAGTGCATCGAATGACACTTTAAGAACTGCCAAAATGTGACATTGAAAACTCTTACATGGGATGACAGCCATGCATTCCAGCTCGTGAAGTCTTGTCGCAGCCGAGGATAGTAGAATCCCAATGGGTTAAAGATGAACGGCACAGAATTTATCGAAGCTGCCATTAAGAAAATCGGCCACGTGTCCAGAAAGAAGACGCCTGCATCGAGACCTGCGTACTGCAGAAGCGCGCAGCCACAAATCAAGGAAAAAGACAAGTAGTGCGTAAGAATTGCCTATATGACCGAGTTAGGAATATTTAGGAGGGCAACGACCATGCAGCTAACGACCCGCAGTGTGGTGCTACGGTGAGAAGCTGCAAAGATCGCTTGGCCTCTACGGAACACAGTGCTGTGCAGGCATATATGTCGAGCAATTTTCTCAATTAAAGCCCCATTTGTTTGTCTAAACATTAGCTACGCAGTTTGCCTACCGTAGCATATATGATGAGAAGAACGAACATTTCCAAGCCAACAGAAAAGTGTGTGAAGTAAAAAAACATCCAGATGTCTTTCAAGGTTGCACGTTCTATGACGAATCCTCGGCCAGTTTCCTGGTACTTCGCTCCACCGTATATTAATACGTGATCTATGACGGAAGCTTTCGTACAAGCTGCGAAAAAACGTAGCTTACAAAGGCACCTACCACTTAGGTCTGCCTTCTGAAAGGACAGTTTGAGGGGGCAGATTTGAGGTAAGGCGAAATTTATGCTTCCGTCTCGTGTGTAGTCATTAATTAGCCAAACTCCTGAAGGCGCACTCATGAAGTTGTAGTAAGTAACGGAAAACTTGCTCATAAGATCTAGTAACTTCCGCAATGCTGAGCCAAAACCCTTCTCAAGGAAAAGCCATGGGACAAGAGGTAGCACAAGAAGCATCCCAAGCTGAAACTGGATGTATGTGGAAGGCGTCAATACGTATTCTAGGGCACTTTCGACGGGCCCGCTGTAGTTGTATTCTGCATTACAGCACATACGGCAGCCAGCAAGGTAGCATCGCTGCAGTGACACTCTTTTGAGTGGAATGCCTATCAAGCAATGAACCGTTGAAACCCTTCAGCAAGGTTGTTCTTTTTCGTAGTAGCTGCCAAGCGCTTACTTGCAAAAGCTAAGAAGCATTTCGTATACAGGCAGACGTACGCTGCCAGAACGAGGATGACCGAATTTAAGAAGAATCCAGGGCCAGTGAACCACAACGACAGCACTCGGAAGAAGTCCATGTTAGAAACGAGGCGGTATAAATCTCGGCTAAGAACTTGTTCGCCATTGCCGCCAGCAACTTTCTTCTCAAACATGACAACTTGTTGCAGACCGACGTCTCGTCCTTTGCCGCACTGCAGCAGAGGAAACGCAGACCGTGAGCAGAAAAACCAATGCTCTGGCAAGTAAAAAAGGACTCTCTCAAGAATCGCCCACTGCAGAAGTCTTTCCCAACAACGGACGCCAAGTACAGTAGCCATATTTGTGTGGAACGATGAAGGCACGGCACGAGAGTGCTCACGCTGCCTGCTTTCATATGCCAAAGATGCCTGCTCTCAAATGGAGCAAATGTTTGATGGTTATAATACTGCAGTCTCACCTGTATATAGTCTGCGTGGTGCACGCAATAGCCCCTGGCTGTACAGTTGAAACCAGCGAAAATATCCTCTGATAAGTTAATTCCATTGGATGCTTTTGAACAAGATCCACATGTCTGTACGAAGAAGCGGTCGAAGATATCAGGATGGCCATAATGCATCCGCACCTGAAAATAACGAGCACAGTGCCCCTTCAAGTCATAAGTAGACTAGAGGTTGACGCCTTGACGGTTTGGGGAGATACAGGGCGTCCTTCATGCTCTTAGATATGTTTTCTGTGCTTTAAGCTAGAATCCACTAAAAAAGGCGGCAGCGGTTGTGCGCACTCTAAGGGGAGTAAAATAAAGGCGCTGGTTAGTTGTTGTGAATAGATTCTCCTGTAAGGCCATGTAGCTGGCCAAACTTGATACGTTTTCTGTAAAAATGTGTTCTCTGAACCCTGTACACAAATGCAGCCCCAAGATCATTCGTCCTTGGTAATTCATTTGCAGCGGCGGTTCAAGTTGACATATCTCTGCTAAGAGCTGCGATTTTCTGGCGCCCTACCGAGAATCCGCATTCGTGCATTTAAAGCAAACTCCTGAAGCAAATTGCGAAGCTTAATCGCCTCTTCCAGATATGACTCCATATTCATGTCCATCTGCTGCATAGTGTCCATCCGGGAAAAGGCAATGGCATGGTTTTGATTCTCGGGCTTTCCGGGACCAATGATCGGGGTGCGACCCCAGGGCATCCCAGACTCATCCACAATCAGCGGGAGACGAATCTTGTAGATTGCCTCTAATCTTAGGGGGCCCCGGCGGGATGGCCAAATCATTCCACCACGATGTGAGTCACGTTGCTTTCTGGCTATCCTTTGTGCCTCAGCTTCCACGTGAGCTTGGTGCCGTGACAGCTTATCTTCGAAAAATGCTACGCGTTCCTTCATCGTCAGAATTCCCCTCTCCCTGAGAGCTCCAAGGCTGTTGCTCCTGTGTGCAGCTGTGCTTGAATAGTTTACACGCGTCTCAAAGCCTCGCTCCGATGTTCCTAAGTTCTCTGGTCGTTGTTGAATCCTCCCCTCATGCAAATCCAGACTGGTAGCTGCACTGCTCGACGCTACAGTGCGTGGAGAAGCTTGAAATTCCGCTCGATGACATGGATCTTGCCGATGCCTAAACTGTCTGGGCTGAGGGTGAATCAGCTCGACACAATTTGCATTGCTGGCATCTATCCTACTTCCTACCAGAGTATCGCCCCCCACGCGCGAAGCAGTGGCGTCCCACCCGCATTCCCAAGAGTGCAAATCTAGAGTTTGCAACTCTTTGCGTGCCTGTGTGCCATTTTGCCCAGGATGTAAAGTGATTATGGAGTACCTCCTCACACGTGACATTTGCTGTCTAATCAGTGGTTTCCTAGGGTCGCTTGAATCGTACTCATCTGGGATAAACTGCAGTGTGGATTGCCGAGAAGAACCGTCCACAGCAGAGCAGAATCCACGCAAAATGGATGCAGGCGGATGCCTCTCAGCGTCTGCACCTGAAATAACTGGGTTCAAGAGGTCCAGCGCCAAAGCACGGGCAAATTGCGATTCCAGCAGCGTTGGCGCTTGACAGGGTCTGACGGTAGATGAACACTTTTTTGTCCATGTACCCCGAAATTTCCTTCGGGATGAGCTTGAACGTGCATGACGCGAATTTCTCAAAGTTACAGAAGTGCTCTTGTTTTCGTAATCTTCCCATTCTCCCGAAGCGCTTGAGAAGTTCCAGTTTGTTTGTCCGTGTCCAATGAATGTATGCGGGCTTGCGTTGTGGACTGGAGCTGGATGCAACTGAGGTTCTCCCTGAAGCCCCTGCGAATGCAAATGTTGTGATAAGCCTGCATCATCCGCATTTTCCTGCAGTGTATCAAGGCGATTGCTATTTCGTAAGGGAGTCGTGACGGCTTGAGCTGCCTCCAACGCATCTTCGGCAAGGCCATGTGGCATGCCTCGATGCAGCATGGGAAGTGAACTCCACTGTGGTCCGTCCGTCATCTCATGTCGCGGCAAACTCAGCTTATTCTTAGGATCTGACTCTCCATTTGCCAGTGGAGACGATGCCGTGTACTGAAACGTAGTCTTGGTCCGCGCAGCAAATAGTGAACGGTCACACTGTTTTTTCTTATGTAACCAGTGAATGGCGCGAGCAATTTTAGACTCGAAATCACCGGCTCCACCATTATTTCCGACGCCCGTTCTTCTGCCGTGTACGTGAAGTGACTGCCGCGAATTTGCCTGAGCGTCAGATTCCGCTGGAGATGCTGCTTGGCCAAAGGTTACATTCTTGTCACAATCTTTGTCCTTCGAGCCACAGAATGGTGGCGAATCCATCTCATTCAGTGTGAAACCCTGCTTCAGCAGTTGGCGTGTGCCCTCTACAATGGACGAATGATGCTGCGTTGATTTCGTCTGCAGTTGCTTCGTATTGTCTTGAAGAGGGGAACCATTATGACCAATGCCTTTGGATGCCGCTGTGCCTCTTCCCGCCGCGTGCGCTGTGAAAGGAGTTGCAGGCGTCTTGCCACTAGGGCTTGAAACGACCTCACCAGATCGGCCTCCCTCACTGCTGTTTCCTCCGCTTCTGATTTTTATCGTGACAGTTGAGTCCGGTCCCATGTTGGCGCCCGGCGTACAGACAGGTATACGTGGTGCAGGCACAAGGAGCTTGGGGACTTGTGCAGGTACCACTTCCCCGTCTGCAAGTTTAACGAATCTTCCAGCGGCCCTCAACTCTGTGGGCGATGCCGCGGCCGGAGTGGTGATTTGTTCACCAATCGGATCAATATCGGCGGTAAGTCGGTAGAGAACACTGAGCTTGTGTCCTGTTGGCCTGCCATCCGGAGTGCGTTCATGCTCAAGCGTCGCAATGCGAAGGGTGGGGTAGCGCACCAGAAGTTTGTACAAAGCTACCTTTCTAAGCAGTTGAGCCCGCAGAGAGAGGGATGGCTCACAGCCATTTGTTGGCATCTGAGCGTTGAGGTCAGTCCCGAACTCTTGGGCAGCAACCACATACTGGTACTTCAGTTGAGCCAGTTCCTGGAGGCAAAGAAAGAGAGGCAATTTTTAGCATCTCTATCAAGATATTGGCAGGCACCCCCAATGCTTGGCGAGGGCTTTGTGAAGTTGAGAGGCTATTCTCACCCGTGTCGACTGCTTCGTTTCGTACGGAGGTGCAAAATTAACAACTTCTCTCCACAAAGCCCCTTCTGGGCTCCTAATGATGTCAAGCTGAGCTTCGTCTAGCCGATTGGTGTCTCTGCACAAGTGAAGTTCATGTGGAGGTGTTTCTTCCAAATATGCCTGTAGTTGCAAAGGGGGATATTCGCACAGAATCAAAGGCCTCGCAGAACGCTAGCTTTACTAAGCGACGCCCACAGCCATGGCGAAGCCATGCAACTCGATAGCTCAAGATCGCTGAACAATTAAGTGACATTGACGCTTTTTTATTCCGTGGCAAAAAACGTGCCTGCATCCGGATAGCCTGTTCATAGTACATGATGCCGTAAACTGTGCGCATCAGCACCTGTCCCCTGTACGATGCCCATTCTTGAAGCATCTCACAAAATCTATCATACCTGCATGAGAACTGAGAAACACATCATCAAGACTCCTTCGTTGTGGTCAAACAAAGTCAAGTATAGCGGTCACCTCATTCAGAGGCAAGTTGCTTACCGATGTAGTAAACCGCACTGTTGCATTTGGGCGCGGATGTCCTGTAAGGCTAGGTTCCGGCGCTCAGGAGAATCCGTGACACGGTCTTCTATTTCTTGTCTTATTGTAAACATATCTCTGTCACGATCAACCCTCTCGATAAAGTTATCGAACTCTACTGGGTGTAAGCTACGCAGCAAATCCATTTTGCAGACACCCTCATCGGTGCGCTTCTCCAAATCCTGCACATTATTCGGCAGGAGAGATACGCGGATGCATCCTAAGTCACGTGCCAACGTATCTGCAAACCAGGTGCCCACAACTTGTCCCTCAGAGCAAAAATGGAAAATTTCGTAGGTCGGAAGTCAGTGGCTCTTCGAGGCACCATTTTGCTTGCCTGTAGATCAAGACGAGTGTCTTCTCTGTAGTACGGTGTCAAAGTCATCATTGACACCATGTTGCGCACCAATGGAGTCTCTGGGATTCTCATGAGAAGCGAGTTGACAAACGTCCCAAACCTGGCGCACCGTTCTTGCACAGTCCACAATAGGGTACTCCAATATGCACCACGTCGCTCAAAGCAAAGGGTCGGAATAAGCCGATCTTTACTGGGGGAAAGTCATTCTTTGGTTCGATGCAAATTAGATCACCTTCGTTGGGTCTCCGCACATCTGAAGGATGGATCTTCTGCCTTAAGAATGCGTGCTGCCCTTCGAAAAAACAGCCGCAGAGCGTGCTCTACAGATGCTATCCTGCTTGCGTCGGCTGGCTCTCTGCTATAGAAGTATCCATCTTGTATGCCGTTGTCCCCCAATACCAAACTTGCGTTGGCTTCCCCTAGTTGTGCGTACAGCGCCCGCATTTCCGCCAACTCTTCAGGAAGAAGTGGAAGATCTGGCCAGTGGCAGTTCGCAGTAAGCCAATCACCGTGAACTTCTCACGCATCTTTCATCTATTTTCCGGCGTGCTTAGCTGCGCAGATGGCGTGGAAGGCTCACCTTCTGTATTCACTGCATCTTTTTCTCCTTCATTAGAGAGCAGCAATGACGAGGTATGCTGCAGAAGTATTTCGAGTTGTTCAATCATAACTGCAACTTCCGCACGCTGTATCGGGGATGGCAAGATTGACGGGATATCCTTGACCCAGGAGTCGGATCCAAAGCAGACACTAACGGCTTTCACGTAGTCTTGGACAACCAGGGGAATGTTTGATTCCCCCAGTTCCTCTGGTTCAGTGCTTGGAAGCATGATCATTGCAAGTAATGCCTGAGGTGCATTTGTGATGAAAGCCACACCACTGCAGCAGGCAATAAACTTGTTCACTGTTTCATTCCGAGACTGCGAAATACCTACCTTTTTCAGCTGTGCATTTGCCTTTGCCAGTTTGTCAGCATCACTTGGCGCCCAGAAGCTGGCTCTTTGTATAAGAACAAAGACGCCGTGCAACGCGTTGGACAAGGCCTTAAGCCCTTGGAGGTTGAGCCACAGAAGCCTTGAATGGTCTTTGCTTACCTGCACCCACGAACAACACACTACATTCCACTGCCCCTTCACGGTTACGCGAATGAATGCTGCCAATATGGTTGCCTTCGATTGTAGCGGTCCTTGAGGTAGCGCAAAATGGCATGCTGACCCATGACCATAGTTCTTCCATTGCCCACACCAGCTGAGGCCCATCTCTGAAGTATCTTGCAAGGTATAGGACAAAAGCTTCAGCGATTTCGCCGCACGCCTGCAGGTGCATTGACGTCTCAAACCTGGAAAAGCGACAGCGAATGCCCGTAAGATCGTTACGCCCGTAAGATCGTTCTTCTGTTGAACGCTGAAATTTGCGTGGGGCACTCTCCATGCGGCCACTCTGTGGCTGCTAGAATAGAGCACTAAAGCTACATTGAATCACGTACACGATGCATAATTTTCAAAGCAATCGAGGAATGCCAAAAGTAGCCAAAATAACCCACCTAGGGTCCTTGTTGTTAGGATCACTTGAAAGGTACTCGCGGTAAAAGGTCTTTGCAAGACTTTGCTTGCTGCACAGCCGAAGCATGTCGCCGCTGGCTTGATAATGGAAATCTTCGCAGCTCTTCAAAAATTTTGCAAGCTCATTGCAATATACATAAACCGGGTGGCGAACAGCAGATTGGCTCCAGTCCGCGACTGCGTCTCCACGGCCTAAATACTGAGCGGCGCAAGGCAGAGTCATCATATGTTCTCATAGTTATTGCCCACCCTACTAGGAAGAATGCTTACACTATTTCAGTTGCTTGACTAGCTAAAGGGAGCTTTCCTGCTTCCCACAAACGTACAAGTGTTTAAAGGACCTACCAAATCTGAGAGACTATTCGTCTCCAGCGAGATTCGCGGCAGCTCGTTAAACTCAAGCTTTTCTTGTTCAGCGAAGTTTATTATATCTTCGTCGCGCCAGCTTTGTATGATCTCATTCCATAAAAATCCGAATCTCTTCATAGCCGCCTCATCATGATTTTCTCTTGTGCTTCTTTCTCGTGGTTCTTCTGCTCTGCAGGACAGAGCAAAGGGAAGCTTGTGTTCCTCCTCTGTTTAGCAAAACAGGAAGGCTGAGGACGAACCTAAACTCCACACTGCGAAACTCAGCTTACTGAGTCATGATCTTGGCTGCTAACATAGGCACCTGCAAACAAACACACTTTTGAGAGACCAGCTCAGGTGAAGAAATTGACGTACTGGCAAAGGAGAGGCTCAAGTCACTAAACGCGACTTCCAAATGCACGAGTCAGTTACTCTTAGGCCTGCACCACTGTAAGGATTTGCTTGGCAAGCTTTTAACACGCTTACCATTTTAGTGTAGGGATCGCTGTTATTTGTATATTGCGCAGAAGGTCGCTGGAAGTCGTTTTCTGCCCTGGAAAGAGCGAACAAAGGGGGCTGCGAAGAATTTGGCGCTCTGTCTGAACATCCTGTCTGTAGTCTGGAAAATGTCTTACGGCGGCAGTAGTGCCCCACATTGCTCGCACGGCGTAACTGCAAAGCAGTGGGCGACTGCGTCACCGCAGATGGCATGCCTGAGATATTTCACCGGAAACGGAGATTGCAAGCCAAAACCCCATACTGTAACAAAAAGCAGTACGCCCCCACAAACGGCCAGTTGCTCCCGTAGCACAGGCTTGATCCATACGCTGGGGCTGTTCGATGAATCTTACTTCTCAATAGACGTTTCTGTAGCAGTTCTTCATCGCCAGGCAAACGGAAGATTTCTGTGCGGGGTAGCAACGGGAGGAGGTGTTGCTGAATTTTTCTATTATTCGTAATATAACCAACGCGCCTAATGTAGCCGTCAATACTCCCATATAAGGCCCCGAAAAGCAAGAAAAAGATCTAGAAAAATAACGCAAAAAAGGGAAAACTAACATTCTGGATTGCAAGGGCTTACAGCATCTACATGCCCCAGCTTATGGGCCTCCGCTCACTAGCTTAATGGCTACAGGTCACAAACCAATTAAAATCCATGTGAACAGCTTAGGTGTTTACCTGCATGTCAAAGAGCCATATGAGAAATGCTGGGAACCAAATGAACCCTTGTATAACGGCGGGTAGGTATCCAGGCCAGAAGACAGAAGAACTGATGTAAACTGGACGGCACGAGACGTAGTCAACATGATTTGAAGCTGCTACAGTCGACGGCAATATGATGTATAGCCAATAAAGAGCCTTGATAGACATGGCGAAAAGCCAAAAGAAGGAGTATCTTATCTGTGAAGGCGCACCGGAGGACACCGAGCGCGTCCATTTCCACGAAGAGCTCACTACAGCGTGCAGTGCGAGAGGTCGGCCTTCAGCTGCTCAGGCATCTTATTCTGTTCTTCGCAAACCACTGTTGCTAGTCCACTGTATGCAACCACTTGCTTACAACGTGGGTTAAATTTTCTGCGAGAAGCGGAACACTACCCGTATACGTTGATGGCTTGCTCAGTGGTGCCAGCCACTTGTTGCTCCAAAGTAAAGCAAAAAAGGGCATCCTATCCCGAATACGCATATAAAGAAAATAATGAGCTCCGTGGCATACAAAGAAGGTCCAGTACAACGCGCTCAGAAGACCTGTAAAGCGGTACAAAAATGGCCGCCAAAATCGGAACAGCTCTTTTCAACGACTGCCAGTGGGATACTCTCAAAAGCTTTCTTCTGATGGTCTGACTTCCTACTTGTGATTTTTCTCAGGAAGCAAGCACCCACTGAAAAATGTTTGAAGAATTCGAAACGTACCATTCCAGTGCAGGAAAGCTGAATCAAGTCCATCCAAGGACACTGTCACCAATGCTGCTACAGCAAAAGCTAGTCGTACTAGATGAAGTGGGATCCGTCTCCATGTAAGTTTCCAATATTGTCGTTCGACCAGCTTCCGATAGTTAACGAGCAACAGATCAAGGACAGGAAGCATTCCGTAAGAGAGAATTGCAGTCAACGTCAAGATGGACCACTGTTTGCTCACAGAGTAGGAAGACTCTGAAAACGTAGAAACCGCAAATCAAAGTTCTGCAGGTTTCCAACAACCTGATATTTTTCAGGTGATCGGGACCGAAAGCTTGACAAAGTCACAGCACAGCTGTGAGCTTGGGTCGAAACGTGCAGGGAAGTCGTGAACCAGCATCGCATTGCTTTCTTAGCAACTAGCATGTTGCGTGCGACTTGTGGTGACGCTGTTGTATGCCAACTGCACTGCAAATCCGAGGCTTTTTCCTCAGAGAAAGCACTCCCACGGTACCCAAAAGCGGCAGTAACTCTGGCGAACCTTCGTCAACGACAGCGTAGAGCAGTAGGATGCCAGCAAAAGTGGTCACGTGCCATGCAAACACGCGCCAAAAATTGCGTAGAACCTGAACATAGAACGGCACGCGCTGACGCGCGTACACAAAGCAAAAGTTCAAGATGCATATCACGATTGTCTCTGCCGTGGAGCTGGCCCCTTTTGTCTGAAAAATTAGTCTTGTTTAATCGGGCTACGCTTTCCAGCCTGGTTACATGTGAATTCATGCTTAAAATGCAGGTAGTGCAGCTTACTTGAGCATAGGTCCTATGTTCTACGAAAGTCTTGACTCCAGATCCAGGTTTTGATGAACAGGAGAGCTCCGCTATAACAGCATTCAGGTTCTCTCGAGAAACTGAGAGTCCCATACAGCGCGCTTTTTCGTCTTTTGGGCGGGCATCGGACCTCAAGAAGCTATCTGAAAAAGATCTGGTGTCTTCTTGCGGATGGGCGAATTGGGCTTTGCTTTTCAAGCCTTGCTCAGGGGTGCCAGTATCTTTGGCATGCTGCTGCAGAAGATCAAGGCACCGACGGCTCCAAAAAAGCTCATTGAAGTCATCATAAATCAACCGAGCATTGTGATCGGGAGTGTGCAGAGACGTAGCCATGTACCTGAAGGCGCATGCACAAGACACGATGGAAGCAGGCACTTCGCTTGCCAGTCTTTTTAGGGATGGGTTGTGCCACTTCTATGAAACACAAGTCGGTCCACATTTACGATTGCCATTGGCAGTCAAACATAGGCTCCTACCATTGCTCGTCTCGAATTCTTTGGATGGCATCTCGAATTAGGTCAATGAAATCTTCCTCAGGCCTGAAATCTTTGTCCCAAGCCGCGCATAACCAATGAAAGAGCCAGCACAGAAGCTCAGGTGTATGCCGAAGATTTGCCGCCTCTGCCCAAAGCAGTTTAAAAGTTGCTACCTCAAACATCATCTGCTGGAGCTCCTGGCGAGTCCGAGGGGAGCAAATGCTTTCTGAATCCTCCTCTGAAGGAAAAAGGGAAGCGTTTCATTGCAGAATTCACGCCTAGTACACCAGGACTTGACTCGTTAAAGTGGAAACGGCAACCTGGTATTTAAAAACGCTCATGTGGGCGGCCACCGTGAACGCACCCGCACAATCAGCCTTCACTTTTTTCAAATTGGCGTCTTCTGAACAGTAGCTGTCTTCAAGCCAAGGTGGGCACCTCCACGGAAAGGGCGCTGTGCCGACGTAGTCGCACCATTTATAGTAATTCGCGAACAAGCGAGAGTGATACTCATCTAGTGAAGCAAATAGCACTTCTGGCCCCAAGAATGGGATGCCGGGAGGCGCTTCCATCAGGGCCAAATTAAGAATGCTCACGCACACATCCTCCAGCTGATTGTAGTTAGTATCTGTTTGAAAGCGATATTGTCGTTTCACAACGTACCAAATCGTTTGCTCTATTGTATAGGGGGACTGGTGCTGCGCTGTACGTGGAACCGTTTTCTGCACAGAGACAAACTACAACGTCGGAACCTGCCTGAGGCCTTCAGCTTGCTGGCGTACTCCACTTAGACTAAGGATCCAGACGCCTGTTAAAGAAGACTTACAGTATAATGGGATAAAGTTTCCCGGTAATCATGAGGAGGCACTCCAAATCTCCTTGAGTAAAGTCGCGAATCCGAGCGACACAAAAAGACCAGAATTTCAAGCACATATCGAGATAAACTGCTGCCGCTGTTGGCAGAGTTGGATATCCCGTCGCTTGCCTGTGATGCCTCACTACCACTTCTTCCCAGAGGGTAGTAATCGAGCATACGGCTTTGAAGCAAATTTCGGCCGTCAATATACAAAATATTCGACTTTACCAGTCGGTCGCGGACCTCGTTTCCCCCCGTCCAGACTCCACCTTCTCTTGTCTGCTTCAAGTGATCCATTGTTGCATTTCGTTCTAAACAATGGTGAGCAGTTATTGACGTTCTTTGCGTTGTACATGGCTGGCATACCGTTCAAACCACAGCTTGCAACGGCTGTCCCATAGAGCCTTCTGCATATCTAGGGAGCTAGTCAAATCCGCAAATGTTTTGAGAGGGAAGTCACGAAAAGTGACAAGTTATCTTCGAGGGCGGTATTTCACAGAAAGCCATTGACAAGTCGCTCCTCTCTGGCGGAGACGACGGTCTCCAGCTGAGCGGCGTCTCGCCTGTCTCTTCACGCCTGTTGCCAGCACCCCACACTGACGAAATACGTGTCCCTTTGCAATTTTACTTTTTTGTGAATGCCTTTGCATTATATGAAACGGATATGATCGCTGGTTGGAGGAGTTGCATACGTATTTTCACTACTGCAAAACGTATCGATCAGCGCTGCCAATCAGTGACCAGGCCTTCGAAAAAGTCACGTATTTTACGGCCTTTGTTACTCAGTCTGAATGCTAGAAAGATTTATGAGCCAGATAATTTGGGGTTTGGGGAATCTGGCAAGCACATCGTAAGGCTGGGCATCGTCGAAGAAAAAACTGGTTGTGACCCTCGCGAGTAGGAAGGTCACGCCAACAGGGACAAATGAAGAATCTCAAGGATTGTCTCAACGGCCGGCAGCCTCAAGTGCCATTGAGTTAGTATATCGAAATCTTGATGTTTCAAGTGGATATGCTATGAAGGGCGCAGAAATACCATACTGTTCGCCACATTCAATATATTGCTGCTGCCAAATGGGCACGGCCAATCTCCAGCCTCGGTTAACTTACTTGTATTTGGTTTGGCTTTATCGTGTTTTTCTGGTCTCATGATTTCCCTGATTCGAGATCGCGCGTGATTTGCTTCATTAAGGAATGCCTTTAAATACTGTGTGCCTGGAAGGTATATGGCCCTGAAAATGCTCCGGAGATGCAAACAATACTGAAGAGGGGCATTGGTCCGCCGCTTCCTCTTAGTAGGAATTGGATGTGACTGCTTGATGTGAAAATCACGTGTAACATGTAAAACTCGTCTTGATGTTTGCCTCTTTGGTGTCAATCTTCACACGCAATTGTACCCTATTGACACTTGGCGCAATATTGACACTTGGCGCAAGAGTACCTCAGCGCCCAAAGACTAGATTCCTCGATGAGCCCGAACTTATATCAGACAGTCCACTGCGGAAGGAACCAGTCGAAGCATTCAGCGGAGGATCTGTTCGTCACGTGCCTTAAGCGGATGCGATTCCTTGCCCTCAAGTAACACGACTGCTGCCCTGCCGAAATATGTTTTTCATCCCCAGCAAATCTCTCTTCGGCACTTCCGGCTTCGCAGCTGTAGAGTGTCAGCACTATTTCGGTTCCGCCAGAAGCACCCTAGGCGAACAGGCTTTGGTCGTGCGCTGGCCATCCGCCTTGAAGCGGCTTCACACAGGTCGTAAAAGTGGAACCGTGTGAACAGGAAGTCAGGATAAAACTGTCAGCAGTCCAGACTATCTGCTTAGTGAAAACTAAGGTGAAACTAGGCAAGGCAGCCTAGAGGGCTTTTCGAAACACTGCGACTTCGTGAAGCTGGTACCAAGTGTGCGTGGCAACACGGCACAACGAACAAGTCCGTCAGCCTGCTCAGCCACCCGAAAATTAAAGGCAGTAAGCGTCCCTCCGTCACGATATACTTCGTTTGCTGCCCTCATGCGTATGGAAAGTTGCCAAGCAAGAATGCAGTTCAAATTTGCATCGTCCACTATTATACTCGTATTGGCTAGTACACAGTCGCCAGAGAGCTGATCACTTCCACGACCTGCGAATGTGGCATCTTGAAGCCACAATGTAAAACTGACACCCGTGCACAAAAAAGAAAGCATCTTGCGAGGATGCGATACGCCCCGCCCCGCATCGGGTCAGAGTGAGAACTATGCACAGCAGCTCATCCGGCCTGAAGTGAAACAGAAATGCTTCATTCGCTAATTTGTCAGAACGAACACCTGCGAAAGACTAGCCGGTTGCGGGTATGCAAACCGGACCTGTTTATAGCAACGCGGTGGCCCATCCCTCTTGATTCCTTCACAGTACCGTTGAACTATGCATCGCTCGTACTGGATTGCTGTTCTGTGGACACTGAGCGCAATTAAAACTCCTCCGCAGTCAACTACTAGACGCAATGTGGCACTCCAGGATACACAGGACGCCTCCAGAGCTACTGAAGGGCGCAGAGTCGGAGCTCTGCCCTTGCCGTTCATTGGCTGTAAGATTTTCAGTCAGGCTTATGTCATCGCTGGGCTCCGTCGCCGCGCCGCTCAAGCCACGCGGCGATGAAGAGGAGTCGCAATCCCACGATCGAACAGAAATCGGAGGGGAGGAGGAATTGAGTTGGGTGTTGTGCAGCAGTAGCTCCCGGGCCCGACGGCCCTCTTCGGAATCCTCAGACAGCAAAAGATCGAGCATATCGTCGCTGCTAGACTTCATAAGAGATGCATGGCCAGTTGGGCTGTAACGTAACAAACCGCACTCACGCACAACGCCAACAGCAAAAATGAGTGCCAAATACGAATGCTCTAACCCTTATAGTATGTCGATGATCTCTACTCGGTTTATATGTGCCAGCAGCGGCTTACATGCGACCTCGAATGCGCGCGAACCGGCCCGAATGACGTTCTGAGTCGTGCCAATTAGCGTCGGCGTCCTTGTCCTGCGCGTGCATGCAGCGAAAGTAATGCAGCTGAGCACCGAAGCGCCACTAGGCCATGAGAAGCTAAAGCCTCCCCGACACTGGCAACACTGTAATGATGAACCGTTTCTGCGCATCCATGAAGCTTGGCACACCTGTATTTCCTCCACGGTTCCCAACGACATGCATGCAGCGAAAGTAATGCAGCTGAGCACCGAAGCGCCACTAGGCCATGAGAAGCTAAAGCCTCCCCGACACTGGCAACACTGTAATGATGAACCGTTTCTGCGCATCCATGAAGCTTGGCACACCTGTATTTCCTCCACGGTTCCCAACGACACAGAGGAACTGCGTCTGACCACCTCGTTGTCGCTTCCCCCGCGCCCTCCATTCCTGCTGAGCAATTCAGATAACATCAACCCGACAATATGGCTTATAAACTTCCAGTCCCACAGCTTCAATGCTTCACTGTTTCCATGACCAGCACGCCACTATAGTAATGTGTGTCTGCTTTAGCAACATGTGAGAACTCACGGGCATAAGCAGCAGAAAAAGGAAAACGGACTGCCGTCCTCTTTCTTCGCAGTAGAGGATGGCCGTGACTCACTCATCACAGAACTTGGCTGAAACAGCAGGCACGCGCACAAATTTGAGAGCGCTTATTCGAGAAAACCAAGTCAGCCGTCAGCAGGTGCTAAGCCGTACTGCAGCTGTGCTACTGAAACTGGCATGAGATCATGCCCAGCAGGTTGTGCTATTACGGCATAGACAACAGTTTACTGAAAAGCCCTCCCTGACAAGCGTCTTTTCCCAACCTAACAGCGTTCCCTATTAGAAAGAAGCGTTTTCCTTAGTACAGTGAACGATAACTGACCGTCTTTGAAGCGGAACTTCGACTATCTCTTCCCACGTTAGTTTCCTCAGTGTCGTCATCGGACTTATTTGGTGAATCCTGGAGGTCATCTACTGCGTGCATGGCACAAAACCAAAAGGCGATGAACCCGCACATCTCAGCCACATACTGCACTAAGAATGGCCCTTGCTTTCACTTCGTTCATATGTACATGCCCGGCAAGCCCACCGGAAAAGTTAAACTTCGCATATCCAGTTGCCTTTCGCACTTTTTTCCTCGTAAATTCCGGCTTGACTGGCTGGTGAGAAACGCCACCTTCTTCCGCTCCATCGGAATCCTGTAAGTAAGTTGAATACCCACACTAATAATGTACTCCCTAACTATATATCAGAACCTGGGTTACCCGCTGAGCAAGTATCGTGTAGGAAGATGACAAGTTCTGCCCTGCCTCCTCTGGGTGTCATTTACCAACTTCACTAAGTCAACGCACGCTGTGAAAACTCAGTGGGATAATCAGCAACTAGCCAATGGTGGGATTAGCTCCTCCTACCTTGGGAGCCACCATCGACACAGAGTGTCGGAATTCCACCCTTCCCTTGGCAGCAGTGGGGAAATCCCACTCAGCCTCCTTGTCTGCAGTGCCACAACACGGATGAAGCTTCACGCCCGTTTAGATTCAGTAGCACAGAAGCACCTGGTCTCATCCATTCAACCACTGCCACAACACACAGCCCAACTGCAAGGGCGGAAAAGAGCAGTAGGGCTTTGGAAAACAACAGCAGCCCGAAGTGAGTTTATTCGTGAGGATAACTGTCTTGTACGCATAAACCTGGGGGAAGTTATTTGCAAAAATAATCGATGATGCTTGCCTGTCTCCACAATATCCTCAATGCGACTATCTTTTGGCTCGAGGCCTTCAGCTTTTGCTTTGGTTGTGATTTCCCTAAGCGTATCGTGGTAGTCGATTTTGTTTACTCCTATGAGCTCGCCTGCCTGTGCCGGACAATAAGAGCAAAAAACGGTGGCAAAAGTAGAAAGAAATATCACAGACACCTACACCCCGGAACATCCTGCCAGCGAAGGTTTGCCACAGTCGAAGGCGGTCCAAACGATGGATACGCAATGGAGTTGAATCCCCAGCTGCTCCACTAGAAGCTGACGAATACAAAGGCTGTTATATCCTCTGGCTCAACCACAGCAGCACAGCATCGCAAAGCGTGTAAGTAACACAAAGGGTAAACAAAAAATCCCACTCACCAAGGTGCCGGCTCTCAAAGATATGACTTGCAAACGGTTGAAGAACGAAGTCATACAATACAGGGCGGCGGCGCCTTCAGCAGTTGCCACATCGGTTCCATCGAAAAACTTGCTGAACGCCTGCAAAAGCAACCAACTTCGTGACTCCCACGATCATTCTGTTCTTGTCTTTTCCTCAGGATATTCAGACGCGGTAAGTGCGGCCAAAGTGCAAATACGGGACTCGGCGGCAGCAGGGAGCAGAGTCCAGCCGTGCACGGGAAGGGGTTTACCTCGAGGCTAGTTGCCGTGAGTCTCTGGAGATATTTAAGCTCCTTCTGCAGCACCTCGGGTGTGTAATCATCCTCCTCCAGGTCCATAAGGCAAGTCCCCTGGAGAGGGGCGTAGGCCAAGCAGTACAAATCCTGAACGCCAACAGAGTACGCATGCAGCAGCTGCTCACGTTCATGGCAGCCACCGAAGAAGGGTTTTGTGCGCTTCTTTCTCTTCCCCTAAAGAATGATGGCAAATGGATACTGGCTCAGGGAAGCAGCAGCAGGAAATAACGCTGGCGACATGCCAGCAGTTCATCTCGGCGCACTTGAAGCGACATTTGCAAAAAAAAAGGCGAGCCCGTGTCCAGAAGCGAAAAGCAACTCCGCGTTCGCAACAGCACAACGCAGATCTGCGGAATGCTCTTTCCCCACTATGAGCAGTCAGCCCTCATTCACATTATACGCCCGATACCCAAACATGCAGCGCAAACATGTCGTAGAAAAGGCTCTCCAAAGGCGAGCGTAAACAATGGCTCTAGTATTCCTCCCAAATGAAGCTTAAGAAGCAATGACCCAGCTCTATAGGCACCCTTGGGGTGCCTGTTGCCCTGTAAAATGTCAAAACATTTGCCGGTTTGTACGATCCCTCATGCGGTGGCTCATGCGAGCCAGCAGCAACCCTATGGGCAAGCAAGCTCGTCTCCTTGCCGGCTAAGCGAGTCTGTACGATGCGTGCAAGTCCAACGTGTGGGAAAATCTTCCTCAGCTCCGGCGAAAACTCCGCTCTTAGTGCACGCAGGCGGTCCGTAAGTCTGTGCAGTTCTTCTGGGCCAAATTGCGTCGGTACACGCCCATCAGCATGCACATACGCCTCAAAAAGCGCTAATGACAGAGTCAATTCGTTGCGCGGACGCCCTTGCAAGTTCAGAGCACGCAACTGAACTCTAGCCAGACTGGTGCTGACTTTGAGCTTTGCTGCTGCGGCCCGTCAGTTGCTTCTCAAGAACTCCAAAGATGAATCTAACTCCCTTAAACAAATAATATTCAAGATGTTCCAAAGGGAGGTGAGATGGCCTTCAACCCAACACAGCGAGGCCCCAAGCCGACCTATCGAGCCCTCAGACCGGCAGCCCAGCAGAACTCGACGTCAAGTAGTGACGGGGCTTGTCGTGAGAAAGGCGAAATGTTAGTGGCAACTCAAAGCTCCAGTTTCAATTAATGCTCATGAACAACAAACACGGCGGCGGGTTCCTACCCTTTCAGCCTTCACGCAACCGCGATGCGAGCCATGTAACACTCTGGAGGATGCGCTACGTTTGTCGCTGCAGGGCTGCTGTGTGGCATTTACAAGTACTCTTGAGCATTAAAATTAGTATATTTCGTGATATTATACTTTAGGGGGATTCATGCTTAGCTCATACATCTCCATTTACACTCCAGGAACGCTAATGCCGACGGTGGCTTGGTAACAAAAGCAGAACAACTTTGCGGGAGTGTCCTTCTCATAGAGAGGCGAAGGCGGGCCCTTGAAGCTCCTTTAAGTTATGTCGTGTTTTGCGTGTCTTCGTGGCGCTTGTAGAGGTTCCCGCTTGCTCCTCCAGATTCTGAGCATGTGTGGGAGCATTTAAGGGGTCAGCCCCAGGTAACTTCTTTCGGCGAAGCTGTCCAGTTCTCACTGTGCAAAACTGCAGGCGGCAGCCGCCATGTTTAGGGCCGGCTGCTGCATCAGTCTGTGCAGCTGCTTGTGTTGCCGCAAACAGTGCCAACACCTTCCCCAGTTAGCTAGCTAATGCGGTTGCCCACACATGCCATGGCAAAATGCAAAACAACACAAACAGGGGCAGCAAGCAGAAACGTAACCACGACTCGAACGCCAGAACAGCGCTCTTGAAGGGAGGCATCAAAATACTATGGCAAGTGGAGGCCCGTGTACCCAACATACTCAGAAATACTTTGACAGGGGAAGGCGTAATCCAACTGTTCAAACTTAGGTTTCTTCTGCGCATCTTCCCCCTTCATAGCGCCTGCTTAGAGTGTGGCGAGATCACGCTGTTTTCATGCAAAAGTTCCAACTACGTTTCTTTCTTTCTTGACGTCTTTTCGTAGGAGAACGAAATCGTCCAAGCAGCAGCTCTTCTGCTGAGACTGCAACTTCGTCGTGTTCCCACCTGAGTCCCTTTGAAATTTTGCATTTTGGGCTGTGCCGAGTCTGTCTTCCAGTAAACATCTGCTGAAATCTGCTTGCACTCTTCAACAGTCTCATCACGCAAAGCTCTTGCCTCCCCAACAAGTGCTCGTCAGGATATGCATACAGGTGCATTAAATACAAAGTATATGCGTACATTATGTATGTAACTTCGTCCACAACGCAGCTAGTTCGAAAACACTGTGGCTAACTGTGCTGTTTCGGAGCTGCAGCATGCAGAAAGCTTACTTTAAAAAGACTCTGAGGGGCCTTCTCTTAAAGCGTGGCATGTTTGTTACATCAAATAAAAACCGAGGTGTTTGCTGCCACTTAGGGTACGACCATCGCAGCTGAGCAGCTCTGATGACAAACTCTTTTACCTGTGCAGTTTGAATCCAGTTCTTAAGAGGCCGTCACCACTCTGGCATGCCGAGTCGATTTCCCGACCTATTATTTAGAGGTCTCTAACTGGCGGAACGAACATGTAGACGAAATCACAGCATAAGGTGCTCATGGTGGTACACCGTACTCCTCAAACCTAACAAGACTTATCCATCGTCCAACAGTTTTGGGCATTCCAGTGCAGTATTTTTGGTAAACCGTGACGATCTACGAGTTTGGATTGCCTTAGCATCAGACGAATTGGATAGGCTAGGAACACAGGCAGACGTGTCTGCGTGGATTTCCAACTCTAGGGCGTGCCACAGTTAAGCGAATGCGGCGTGGAAAGCATGCTTAGCAACACCCCGCATTTCGCTGCACCGCTTATCTGCCACATCCCTGCTCCTGAATTGATTAAATTTGCTGCAAAGTACCAGCGAACTGGAAAGCTCCACTGGAAGCTCCATGACCCTGCCTGGGGCTTATACATAAGTTTAGTAATGTGGGTATCCATCAAGTACGGTTTCTCGGGACAAGAAATATTCAGTCAGGGAATCTGACTGAGCCGTAGTTATTACTTTCGCTGGGTGCGAGGATTCTCATCATAGAGCTGCGATGGCTGTTGCGGGGAACGCGTAGTTCTCAGGAAGTATGCGGCTACTTGTTGGTAAACACCGTATATTAAGTGAGTAGTGCTTGTTGCGCCGTATATTTAGTTTGTACAATTCACTGATGAAGCGAGCCCAATTAGATCTAGTGGGCTCAATCTTAGTGGGCATTCAAGTGCACGGAAGCCAACAGTTCGGCCTGTGATTTGCGTTGGCCCCTGCGACACAACGCACTCCTTGCCTCTGTGTTCGCTGCTGATGGCCCGGCTGCACCATGAATTGAAGCGGCAATGACTCCTTGCAGCCACCTGTTTGCAAGAATGTGAGGGGTCCGCTGTAGAAGTCTTTCCCCCTTCAAAAGTTCTGGAGAAAGTGAGAGCACCGGACACGTTTGTTTATGTGTGTATAGCAAGCGCTGCGAGGATGGGCACTGGAAACTTCCCGCACTACTAACGAGCGAAACACCATTGAGACGCTGTGGAACAAGCTCAACTTAGCCATTCTGCGGTGTTCTTGAGAACGAGAACACCGAGTATCAAGGAAGCTAGCAATCAGCGATGCCATCTCTCTTCGAAATCTGCAAGGTAACAACCACACTACCACAACGAGCCGTTCAGCGTTAAAATCTTCAGGTTATCACATATGAGGCGTCCATTGTCATACTGCCACGCACTTAGAAGCCCACTTTAATGCCTTTGCTGAGACTGAAAAAACTTGAAAAACAACCGGCCGCACGTCGTCATGGCAGGGGCTGCTCGGTAGCGTCCGTCATCTATCACCAACTTTTTCTATAGATAGGACAAAGTGCCTTTCGTTACAAAATAATTTCTGCGTGAATTGTATAATCTTGAGAAAATGGAGGGAAAAGGGCAGGAGCAGAACGCTCGTCAGAGAGCCAATGTGCGTCACGGGGTGAGACCCCCCATTGTGGAACCCTCAAAGCAACCCCAGAACTCTACCGCATCAAAGTCGAGCAGTCGTTCAAAGTTCTTCGCTTTTTCATGCTTCTTTATTGCTTTTTTTGTAGTGGGAGTCATTGTTTGTTCCCACTTCCTGAGGCCAAAATCTGCCTCAGTTTTGCCGGCCAACCTGGAAGAGCTCTTTGCTCGAGCTGCACACCTAGTAATCCCAAGCAAACCAATTGATCAAACAACTTCATCGGAGCCGGAGCAGCGGAAAATGGCCCCACTGACGGAGCTCAAGACATCAGTTGTTAAGCCAGGGTCAGGACCGACGGTTGCAAAGGGGCAGCGTGTTACCGTCCATGCAACTGGATCCGTTTTGCAGCCGGATGGAACTACGAAGAAATTCTGGTCCACGAAGGATCCAGGCCAGCAGGTAGGCTCTCTTTAAGCGAGCATTTAAGCGTGTGTGAGTGGTTGGAACGAATCAGATCAAGAAAGTCTCATGTGAGTCGTGCAGATGTTCATGTGGTATGCAAAATATCTTGGCACTCACGGGATCTTTTCCAGGCAGACACAAATCCGCGCAGCAGTTGGAAAACTGAGCGTTGCTTGCTGCGCCTTCAATGCTTTCGTGCTGTGCAGCCCTTCACTTGGCAAGCAGGACTTGGCCAGGTGATTGCAGGTTGGGATCAAGGGGTACTTGGCATGAACCAGGGAGAAACAAGGATGATATACATTCCAGCAAGAAGTAAGTTTAACTGTCCTTTTTAAAAGTGGGAAAATAGAAATAGCAATATCAGTTTAGGTATTGAGAGTGCCGCGTTGCCGATCGATGTCTTGTTTTTTGTGCACAGTGGGATACGGCCAGAATGGATTTCCAGCCTGGGGCATCCCGCCTAACGCTGATCTCCAGTTTGAAATAGAATGTCTGCAGATCCAGTGACATGATTAGAGGGCTTGTTTGGCTTTCAACAAGCGAAATGAAGGCGAGCTTCTGCTCCCTTAGCATTGGGTGCTGACTGTCCAAGTTGGAAGAAAGGCAGAACGCGGCCATTTGTTAGTCAGCCAACGCAAGAGCTCCAGACTTTTCTACATGCTGCGCACGGCATTATATGCAGAAGAGTAGCGCTTTTGATGCAGGAGATCTCAGTCGACAAACTTGAAGCATAGGCCACTTGGGTGGTGGAGCACGAGCCTTCTCCAGTATCTTTATGAACTAGCTAGTTTTGGTAGCATTTAGAGCTATGGTTTAGCAGTGTGAATAGCTGCAGCGTTTTGTTCGAATCTTGGGGCACTGTATACTGGGTTCTCAGTGTAAGGGGGTTTCGAGTGGACAACGAAGCTGAAACGTATATTTTTGTCGATGAGGCATGGAAACATCAATTTCAATCTTAAGATCGCTTTCCAGATCCGTGCTGTAGGTCTGTTTCACATGTACTGACAAGCATTGTCGAAATCAGAACGCCGGGGAGCGCGGTGGTTCGGAGTTCGGAAGGCTGTGCGGCATCCGCAGCTTACGGTGTCACGACAGCAGAGCTTGTGTCGTGTCGCTCATTTCGAATCACTTTGCGCATTTTCATAACGACCTCCATAGAACTTCTGGCATCTCGTTGGGCGTTATCCCCTTAAAACTCCAACGACCGAAAATGAAGCTCACTTTCGTCCCTATAGCCGTCGTTCTTTCCACCGTCATAACTAGCCACGTTGTACCAGGCCAATGCAAGATCCTGTCGGCGTCAATGCTCTCGGGCATGTTCTTCGGAACCAACGCGCCAGAGAAAGCTGCTCCCGCAAGTGTGACGGCAACTGTCGAAGCTGCAGTTGGGTCGGACGCTCCCGCTGGCGGCGATGAGATGAGTGCTGCGGCGACAAGTGGATCTGCAGATCTGACTCCCAAGGCCGACGTCGTCAGAGAATTGGCTGAAGCGACACAACAAGCTGACCAAGCAGTTCCTGGGCAGGACGTTGTCGCGAGCCAGACTGACGCCAGAGCAGCCCAGGCCGAGGAGGCGACTGAGAAGATCGTCGCTGCTGCAGCTGAGAGCGGCGCTCAGCCCACTGCCACGAGCGAAGCAACCGAGAACGCGAAGGCACCTGCCAGCGTGGAGCAGCAACTCACTGAGGAAGATGCAGCAAAGAATTCGGAGCTGCTCCAGTCCGTTAGCGAGTCTGCCGAGACCTCCTGGATCTCGAAAGTCAGCAAAGACAGCGCCATTGAAGCTTTACTCCCACTCGTTGCCTTGACGCCTGTCCTGGCGGCCGCTGGCTTCCATGCTGACATCGACGAGTCGTCACCTGGTGCCCCTCTTGTTCGTTTCCCCAGCATCGACTATGCCGTACACGTAGAAGACCTCAAGAACTACAACTAAAGCACTCCTTCCAGCATGGCGTTGGCTCATCGGCTAAAGGCCGACAAACGGTTTCAAGTCAAGCATTTGGAGCTGAACGGTTCAGTGACGCACAGTGTGGCCTCAGTAGCTAACTCAGCAGCGATGAGACATAGATCGTGCTGTGCGGACTTCGGCATCAGCTCCTATCGTTTCACTGAGGCGTTTTTCTTGCTGATCCATCGCGGTACCGCTTTGGGGTGCATTTGCAGCATTCGTTTGCGCAGCAAGACCCTGCTTCCAAATCAGTCCGTTCGCCTATCTTTGCCAGCGAGACACTTTCCCTCCGTCTTTCAGTAATTGTTTTCTGCTGAACAAGTAAATAGTTAGCGTCCAGGTGTGGTTTTGAGGCCACCTGCGCACAAGTTTAGCTCTAGTGCTACTTCGACAAAAGTAGACACTACATGAAGGTGTGTTGAAACTCTAACATACTCGCGTAAGTTTTGCTACGAAGGCTGTTGAATTGCCCTTGATATGCGAAGGGCCGCAGCACTAGTCGGTGTTATGTGAGTCTTCACTGCTCAGCAGAATGCTCATTCTGCCAACCTACAGCATTCTAGTCTTTCTGGTAGGTAGCTGCACTTTATGGAATTCCTATTGATCACGAAACACTCGACGTTTTCCTTTTGGGAGCTTCACACTGTCCAGAGGACGCATTTTGCAAGTTGAACGTACACAATTCGAGTCGGATCGCTGCATGGCGGCACGTTTCGCACTGGGGTGCTTGTGGTGGCGCCTGAACAGGCATTTACCTGAAGCTTGTGATGGTGTTCACTCTCCGTTCGAGAGGGCTTCTAACAAGCAGTGGAAGCCAGCAATGCAAACAATGATGGAAAAAATAGATTGTGATGGTGTTCACTCTCCGTTCGAGAGGGCTTCTAACAAGCAGTGGAAGCCAGCAATGCAAACAATGATGGAAAAAATAGTAACTAAAGAAGCAATCGCGGAACAATAACGCCATCTCCAGCCTTGCAGAAAGCCTGCGCATTTCGGTGGGCTGCAGTTTGTACCAGTGCATCATGGTTTCGCAGTTTCACGAACTGTTTGTTTGTTGTGGCAACGATTTGAATAAATACGGCCAATACCCTTGAGCTCTAATAAATTGTCAACGGGGTAAGAGCACGAAAGATGCCTCATTGAAAGCTGCCTACAGGAACGTGACAGTATCCACCAGGTTGCTAATCACCAATTAAAATGAAATACTACTTTTAAGCTGGTATAGTTTTTGATGTATTTCTTGGTATGCACTTGTTGCATTACTGTACGGCGGTTTCACGATTGTCACAAGGCTTTTTTCTGTATTCTTTCGAGACATATTGCTTTTATGCCGCACTGGCACACCATAGATACAACAGATTTTCAATGCGGCAAATGTGGCGCCAACAGCGTTGCAGTTTTGAGTGTTGTCAATTTACTCATGGAGTACTCAATGAAGGAACTCCCCCAGTACCATAAGCAAGATGTTATCTGCGGAAGATACATTATTTTTCTCTGTATCATAAACGGCGTTGATACTCGTGAGCCATGTTATTTTCAAATCATACTTCATTCCGGGAGAAAAAGCAGGCTCGTGCCACGGCCTCGCCAAATTGCATCCCGTGTATTCATAATTCTTTTGCATTTTCCATTGTGAGAGGCTCACTGACACGCAGTTGTGTGACGAATTGCATTTTAGTTGTTCGTTGGCTTTTGAACTTTGTGGGAGCAAACTGATCGGCCGTCGGTGGACAGTGGGCAGCAAGTAGGTCGTGCCGCTGTGTTACTGGTGATCAGAGGAGAGGGAGAGGGAGTTTTCGAGGCGAGTTGCGCCAGAAGCCCAAGCTTTCTTTCAAAGTTATGAAATGCGTGCAGAATATTCTTTTAATGAGTTCCCATAGCGGTGTATTCGTAGTGCCGAGTAGAACCCTTTCACGTCCGGGCTCGTCGAGTTCGTCCCTGGCGGTGTGACGAGCCGGCTTGCTGCGGCGCTGTGTCGCACAAGTTCTTGAATTTTTTTGCAAGACCTTCGGAAATTGGGTCCGTTGGGAGGAATACTTGAAGTTTGAAGCTGCACAGGCCACAGAAGCTCCGTGCTGCACTCCCGCCGCAGCGGCCGTTGACTTTCCCTTGGCTGGCGTAGGCCGTTTCTGCTTTCGCTTGCGGGTTTCGTTTCTCAGCCAACTCGGAGAGAGAATGAGCGGATCGAGCGAGGGTAAGAAGGCGGGGCTGTGTCTGTTTCCGCGGCTGCTGCGGCGCAGCGCCGCAGCGCGGGGGGTGAGAGTGAACTTCAGTTTGTGCCGCGTGTCTGCTGCGAGCTGCTTCCCGTTTCCTCTTGCAAGGACTCTTTGCTTCACTCTTGAGAGCTGAGTTCTCCTGCATGCAGCCGCGGGGCGTGCGGGTCTGCAGGCCGCATTGTGCTGGAGCGGGACACCTGGCTGGTTGAGAACTTCAAAAACCCGAAGGAAATCCAAACGCTCAAAGACGGGCAAATGAAACACAAAGTCCAGGCAAGTCCGGCACACTGCGCACCTGCAGCGCTGCGGGAGGGGAATTCAAGTGCAAGTTTCCACTGAATTCAAGTTCAAGTTTCCACTGAATTCAAGTTTCCACTGAATTCAAGTTCAAGTTTCCACTGAATTGAAGTTCAAGTTTCCACTGAATTCAAGTGCAAGTTTCCACTGAATTCAAGTTCAAGTTTCCACTGAATTCAAGTTCAAGTTTCCACAGCTTCGCTGCAGGCGCGCGAACACCAATTAATTAGCACTTCTGCGCATGCGTGTGCACTTGAGTCCCACTTGTTCGCATCTGCTGATCCTTTAGTGCTTTCCTTCCCGCCTGATCGCGCAGGCGCAGCGCAGTGCCGTGAGTGAGTGCAGTGCTGTTCAAGTTTCAAGTTTGGCCGCAGCTGCGTTTTGCCCTGCGAATGCGTGGCTGTCAGCTTTCTCTTTTGTGCATGAGTGATGCGGGTGAGGTGAAAGCACGCGAAAGAGAGGGCGGCAGCTGCAGAGGCAAATGCGCCTTTTGCAAGTTCGGCGGAAACGCCGAGTCGAATCGTGCAAGTGCTCTTTATTTGCACTTATTCGCTCATTATTCGCTCATTTTCAAAGAATGCGAGACGCGGAGAGGCACATTTGCACACATTTGCAAAACTAATTCTGCATTCCTCCCTTTGCGGGTTTTGAACGCGCGCCGGTCCGGCGCGCGCTGAGGTGTATCTGCAGCTGGGAGCAGACAGCTGGCTGCTGGCTGCGGAGGGAACGCGGGTCATTTGTGTTTGGGCTTTAATATTTGGAATTTGGAGCAAACTTTCGCGCGATTTTCACTTTTTTTCACCTTTTGGCGCTTTTAGTTCGGGAGAAACCCGGGGGTTTTCGCCGTGCGCGCAGGTGCGGGACTGCGCAGGGCTGCGCCTGCAGGTGGAGGGAAAGCTGAACTCGTTGATTGTGGACTCGTGCGCGGACTGCCGCATTTGCGTGGCGAGTTTAATTGCCACTGTGGAAATCGTGAACTGCCGCAAGATCCAGCTGCAGGTGACGGGCTGCGTGCCCGCAGTCTCGATCGACAAGAGCCAGAAAGTGGACCTCTTCGTGTCCCGCGAAGGCTGCGGCGTGGAAATCACCAGCAGCAAGTCCACGGAGATGAACTTGAACGTCCCCAAGCCCGGCGAAGACGGCGACTGGACCGAAATTGTCATTCCCGAGCAGTTCCACCACAAGTTGAGTCCCGACGGGAAGCTCCACACCCGAGTCTCGGACTTGTACTCCTGCTAGCTTTGGCCCCCTGCGTCGGTCTTCGCCGAATTTCCGAAGCTGCTGCTCCCGCCGCCGCTGCGCAGCACAGGCAGCAGCTGTTGGCGCGGCGCTGCTGCGGAGTTCGCTCGCGGGGGCTCTCCGTTTGCTCCCACTTTCCGTTTTTATTCAACTTTTAATTGTGAAAGTCTTTGCAAAAACAAATGAAGTTCACTGCGCAGCAGCTGCACCCGCTTTCCGTACACCGCAGTCGCTGCGTGTGGGGAGCTCCCGCACCCCGCGCAGTGTACGTCCAGCTCCCCCCAGAACAACAAGCATTCGAAGTTTAATTTAATTTCATTTAATTTAATTTCATTTCATTTTGTTCTGGCGCCTCCGCCTCGCCCTCGCTACTGAGCAGGGCTTCGCCGGGCGGCTTCAGGCGAGAACAGCTGCGGAATTCAAAAATGCAAAAAAGTGAGAAGTGGAAAAGTGAAAACCAAAAGGCTGCTGCGCGCGCTCACCTGGCAGGTGTCTGTACACTGGAACGCCTTCTGCTTCCTTCGCCGCCTTTCTTCTTTTCCGGGCCTTTTCCTTTGCAGCCACTTTTGGACTTTTTGGCAATTCTGCTGCTTTTTAATTTGCACTTTCCACTTCACTGGAAGAGAGGCAGAAGCAGCAAGTGAAGTCAGATTCCTTTTTGCTGCTGCTGCTGCTCTTAAAGTGAAAAGTGAAAATGAAAAACAATTTCTGCAAATGCGAAATTGGAATTTCTGCTTTCTCGCGTTTGCTCCGGTGTATGTACACGCAGTGCAAACGAAGGTCCGTTTCGGAATTCACATTTTCATTTATTTGCTCTTCAGTGTCGCGTCTTCGCCGATTTCGTTTTGAATTTTTCTTTTTGAATTTTTCTTTTTGAATTTTTCTTTTTTTCCTTTTTCGTCCTCTGCTGCTTTCCTCTCTGGTTTCCCTGAAGAATATCCTTTCTTTATTCTTTATCTCTCCGTTTCCTGTTTCTTTAATCCTTTATTTCTCCGTTTCCTCTTTCTTTTATTCTTTATTTCTCCGTTTCCTCTTTTTCTTTTTTCTTCTTTTCACTTTTTTGCAAATCTTCTTCCCCCGCCTTCTCCAAAACGCCGCTGCTCAGAGCCGCGGCCGCGCCGCCCCGG